GATGTTCGAAATCCCTGTAAATGTATACTAAAAAACATGGCATACAAAGGACCGTTGACCAACTGAACACACCATAGTTAGCCAACTAGGAAATCCCGTCTACCACCATAGCAAGTAGTACCACAACACCATACTGTACCCAAAACATCACAACAACAAGACACGTCCAACAGCCCTCCAGCTCTGATCCTCCCCAAAGTTTCCTTATTGGCAACACTATCGATTATCACCTGCATGTCATGTGCATAACATGTCATAAACCAAGACGCGACGCCGATCCATGTTCGTTCGTCCGTCCGTTCGAATCCATGATCTACGATCATAGAACGAGAACCCTCCCCATCCTAAACCTTCTGTACAGTAAGTGGGGGAAATGGATTCCATTCGACTCGTAACATCCTCAAACATGAATACGTGCCTCAATATAGGATGTATCACATGCCATTATTGTCTCTTTATCCCTGTCCCTACTGGGAGGTCATTACTATACTAGTACTAGTACTAGTTGTAGTAGTTGGGGTTAAGCGAGCTGCACTAATTATTAAGTAGTGATACTGTAGTAGTTAGTATTTACTGTAGCTGCTGCATGTATGTATGTATGTTTGTTGACTGCAGGATGAAATATGCCCGATTGCCATGGTTATTTCAAACTTGTCTTGCATGTTGGGTGGTTACGATAGGTTCGGATAATGATGTGCGGTGTAGGGGGGTGTTGTGTGTGAGTGTGAGGCAGAAGCAGGAGTAGGTGTGTGTGTGTGTAAGTGAGTAAGTAACTGTGTAGCCTCATGATTTACTCCGAGTCGGGTTTCTGGCTCCCTTGCTCTGTGCACAGGTTTAATCATGGGAGATGCAGGGTTGGTGGTGGTGGTGTTTCATTGGGTTTGGGTTATTTATAGAAGGGTAAGTGATATCTTGATTTGGGAGGGTGAATCCCAGAGAAGGAAATACTTATACAATCCCCTTTTGATGGAAGTAACAATTGGACGTAAATTTGGAGAGATGAATGAAATTCGGATCGACTGGACTCAAATACTATCTCTTTCGTAGTAGTGCTAGAACCAACCGGCAACTTCCTATGGTGTGACGCCAGCTTCCAGACCGTTGGGCGAAGCAGCAATGATTGGCTGAGGAAGGAAAAGCCTTGACTGCAACTTACGGCATACGATGTTATTCCGGCCCCGACACAACAGAGTCAGTGCCCATTATGGGTATTAGTCGGTGGTATTCTTCCTCCTCCCCCCCTGACTGCTTGCCGTCCCGCCCGTTACGCGGTTACGCATGGGAAATACAGGCTAGTCTGCTTTTGCTTTGCTCCTACCCGAAGGAGAGAGGTTGTTGTTGTCCCGTGCGGTGCCAGCAACCTTTTCTTTTCCTGCCGGTTCCATAGCTTACCTACCAGCTGCTTCTTACGCCCGATTATCTGTAAGTCGTTCAAGACAGGTGGGTTGGGCTTGCGTATAAATGGCCATCGGATGATACTTGCAGGTTCCAGATGATTCGCACCGGACACACAAAGCAGCATCCTTCCAACTAATAATAGCCCACCCGCAGCGGATCTGTCTTGGAAAGCAAACCTGGGAGTGGTTGCCGTCGACCCAAGGTCCGGTAGATTGAGCACTGTGCAGGACACACGGGTCAGGAGTTCAATTTATCAGGCCTTCCTGATTGTACAGCTCCAAAACCTCGCCCTCCCAAAGTGGAATTTTCCCATTCCCGGATGCGCATCCTATTGAATAGTAGATAGTCAATGGCTCCAGGGTTGGTTGGTTGGTTGGATTCGTTCCCCACGATCTTACTGACTTCGTACTGTAGTACACCTGACCCCCCGGGGAGAATGGTTTCGCATCTCTTATTAAGCTAGTGGTGTCCAAAAGATCTCGAGGGAGTTTAAGTTTGACTTTGGGGGATTTTCTTATTGCTTTTTTATTCGTTATGGACATGTCCGGTAAAGAAAAAAAAAAATATCACTGGTCCTGTTGCTAAGGTAGTAGGTAAGTACAGTAGTGACAGTTGAAATACTCCAGGGTAATTAGTTCGCAATGAAGTTCCGAGTAAAATAATGATGACTACTATGGAGCCGTTGTAATACGGAATGTAGCGGTTCTAGATAAGTGTGGGAGGGTGTAAACAATAGGTAACGCAGGGAAAGAACTCCAATTGATCATAGATAGAGAGGATGAAAAAGTGTCATATTTAAAAACCAAACGGTGTGCAATTAAACCGTCCATTGGGGAAAATAAAATAAAAGTGGGCGACAGGACAGCAGGACTAAAAGGATTGATTAACTAACTAGTTAGCCAGCCTTCCCATACAGTCAGTCAGTAAGTTAGGTTGGTTAGTTTAGTTTTGGAGCAAAGTAGAGAGAAGAGAAACCAGAGCCCCCCCTTTCTTTCTCGGACAGGGCCACCAAACAGTCTGGCTCCAACGACTAAACCACACCCCCATCACTCCGCAGGTCCCAATCGCTCTCCCTCTTTCCCCTGTTCCCTCAGTACGTATTCACTTCTCTCTTTCATCGTCCTTTTCATTTCTTCTCCCCGACTTTTGTTTTTTTTCCTGTTTCGTTTCGCATCATCTCCTCCACACCCTGCTTTTTTAGCTGTGTTTTTGAGATCCTCCTTGGGTTCCAGCTATAATCCCATCCCCTTGGCTCGTTATTGAACTGAACCTCACCCTTTTACCGGTGAATAATAGTATCCAGGTACGCAGGCTGGCTCCTCTATTTTCTGGCCCCCCTCCCCTCCTCCTCCCTACCTTCTTTTCTGCATCCCCACGGACCATACGTGGAATACGATTATCCTCCACGTTGCTGCTTCGATTATTGCGGCTTCCAGACCTTCCCCTTGACTGCTTCCTGCAAGGACTTTGTCGCTAACGAAGAAGGTACTACCTGTTCAGGGGAACTTCCTCATCGACGCTCGCTACCACCTGCTTCCTCTACGCTCGCTTCCCATATTACCTGCACACCCTTCACTTCCACAATGGGTAAGCTTGTCGCCCTGTACCCTTCCTTTCCTCGTCAACCTGCGATTTGAAAGAAACCACCCCCCCCTTTTCTACCTGCCACCAATTCCTCCCTATCGTGTCCGAAACCCGGCATCCTAGCGCGTTGTGATACCACCATGGCACGTTCCAGGAACCGGAGTGCGGATGGTCGCTCTCAAGGAGATTCGGAAGCTCCTCCAAGCTTCCTCCAGAAGGGCTCGCAGAGACCGAAGCGCCATTCGTTTTCGCCTGCCCTCGATCGCTTGTCTTCCGAAAGTGAACGACAGGATGATGAACCAGTTGCTGACTCTGCTTCGCACAATGTAGCTACACCACCCCCTGCACCGGTTGCCAATGGCACGCCCGTTTCGTCCTCTCCCCCCAGCAGCAAGCCCAGTTCGCCCTTCGTTGAGCGCAGTAACCCAATGGGCGCGGGAAACGCTCAGACCGTGAGCTCCAAGGACCCCAAGGCTGTTGCTCAAGCTGCTACGGATATGAAGAATGTCGTTCGCCGGAAGCTGACCGGCTACGTTGGTTTTGCCAACCTGCCCAACCAATGGCACCGTAAGAGTGTCCGCAAGGGATTCAACTTCAACGTGATGGTTGTTGGTAAGTGCCCAACCGGCGGGACCACGCAGAGCTGCAGTTTGTTCAATCTAATACACCACTAGGTGAGTCCGGCCTCGGAAAGTCGACTCTCGTGAACACACTCTTCAACGCCTCGCTCTATCCTCCTAAGGAACGCACCGGCCCCAGCCACGACATCATCCCCAAGACCGTTTCTATCCAATCTATCAGCTCCGATATTGAAGAGAACGGTGTCCGTCTCCGCCTGACCGTGGTGGACACCCCCGGATTCGGTGATTTTGTTAACAACGACGACTCGTGGCGCCCGATTGTGGAGAACATCGAACAGAGATACGATGCCTACCTGGAGGCCGAGAACAAGGTCAACAGAACCAACATTGTCGACAACCGCATCCACGCTTGCGTCTACTTCATCCAGCCCACTGGCCACTCCTTGAAGCCCCTCGACATCGAAGTCATGCGCAGGTTGCACACCAAGGTCAACCTGATCCCTGTGATCGCCAAGGCTGACACCTTGACGGACGAGGAGATTGTGGACTTCAAGAAGAGGGTAGGTTGACCCCTGATTCCATTTTATTTGTATAGTATGCTGATATAATCACTCTCAGATCTTGGCCGATATCCAGCACCACTCCATTCAGATCTTTGAAGGCCCCCGCTATGAGCTTGACGACGAGGAGACTATTGCCGAGAACCAGGAGATCATGTCCAAGGTCCCGTTCGCTGTCGTCGGTGCCAACTCCGAGGTTACGACCCCTGATGGCCGGAAAGTGCGCGGTAGAAGCTACCCTTGGGGTATCATCGAAGTCGACAACGAGGAACACTGCGACTTTGTCAAGCTGCGCCAGATGCTGATCCGCACCCACATGGAGGAGCTCAAGGAACACACCAACAACTCTCTGTACGAGAACTACCGCTCCGACAAGCTTACCCAGATGGGCGTGGCCCAGGACCCAAGCGTCTTCAAGGAGGTCAACCCCGCTGTCAAGCAAGAGGAGGAGCGTGCCCTCCACGAGCAGAAGCTCGCCAAGATGGAGGCAGAGATGAAGATGGTCTTCCAACAGAAGGTCGCAGAGAAGGAGAGCAAGCTGAAACAGAGCGAAGACGAACTATACGCCCGACATCGCGAGATGAAGGACCAACTGGAACGGCAACGTCTGGAGCTGGACGAGAAGAAGGCGCGCCTCGAAAGCGGGAGGCCAATCGAAAAGGAGCCGAAGCGAAAGGGATTCTCGCTTCGTTAGACGCACGCACGCATGACTGGTACCCCGATGCCTTTGCCAAGGGACTTACATCAAGGACCACCGAGGTTACGGATGGTCGTCGGAGGCACTCAGGTGGTTTTATGTTGATTTCTCCACGACTCCCGATTGACCGCACGCTCTTTCTAACCCGCCGCCTCTTTTCTCTTGTGTTTATTTGTTCTCACCCCCACACTCCCTCAAACCTCTACTTTTCTCGTATCTGCTTCCAGTAATGACTCTATTATCGACCGGGTGGATCGCAGAAGAAAAGACAGCCTTTGTTTCTTTTTTCTCTTCTTCAGCCGAAACCAACCACGATTGTGGCCGGAACACCGGAGCTGAATCCAGCTTGGTGATAATGTCTGGATGCTCCCGTGCTTCTGGTCGTGGAATCGCAAGACGACGCACGGGGTGACGGCCTGGAAGACCGCTTTGGGTTCGGAATTCACTGCTTCATGTCCACCATTCGCTTCTTGTTATGTACTTTTGCCTACGCTATACCTTGTTCCCGTCCGATTTCCTATTCCCCGTTGTGGCCTGGTACTCCTACTTTTTATTCGTCTTCGGTACACTTTTTTATTTTTTTGCCTCCTTTACACCATTTTAGTGAGATCACCCACCCCTGACCATCTTTTTATTTTCTGGACGTTTTTCCTTGTTCCTCTGCTGTTTCTGTGCGCTAGTTGTCAATCTGAAGTGTTATTGAAGAGCGAACGATACGATAATGGAAGCGGGAGGTGTATGAGCGAAGAAAGCAAGACGAAGCTGGAGGTGCTTCGATCGGTTGTGATGTATTGTTCCATGGCCATCTGGGTGCGACAGCAGCAGAGCTCATTCGACGAAAGGCGTATTCAGTAAGAAGCGTGTAGGGTGGATATATGCCTACTGTGATATAGTAATTTCAATTTCAAGACAATCGAGCAGTGTCCAGCTCAACACCTAGAAATGTGTGGGGGGGCAGCTTTGTCGCTCACGATGAATCCCCATATCTGCTCGTATTCAAAAATAGGATATTAGAGTATCGTCTGTAGTTGCTCATGTTTTGGATACTGCTGGATGCTTCTTGAGGAACCGATTTTGCTAAGCATAAAAGCCCTCAGTGACCGGAAGATCAAATCAGTAGAATCAATCAACAATCCGGATACCTACTAACCAACAATTACCCAGAATAGAATTGCACACGACCTGGGGAAGAGCTCGCCTGGATCATGACATCGATAAGCTTTTTTCCACCGACGGTTGTGTTGCATCATTGCGGGCGGGCGACGTCACGGGAGTGCGGCTGATGCTCGAACGAACCAGTTGACCGAGCGAGACTACTAGGCTGAGTAGGACTAAAAGTAGTAGCTTCTTCCCTCAGCTGGCAACTTACTCTCTCCAACTTGCACCAGAACCGCCGCCGTTCGTTCCCTTCAAGGCCAAAACCCACCGCCGTCCCCGCCCAGCCTCCCTTCCCAAGTGGATATCCATCTGCTTCCACCGCTCAATTAGTTTCCCCGATATTCTTTCTTCGTTCCTTCTCCTCCTTTTCCCTTTTCCCTCCTCATCTACTATTGCTGTTGGCTGCTCCATTGCCGCACCGTCGTTCCACTCCCCGGTATCTCGGCCCTTTCTTACTACTAACCAACGACCCTCCCTACATTCCTGCTTCTTCATCCGACTTCCCGAGACAAGCGATCGCAATGGCCCCTGCTCCGCCCGCTAATCTGCCTCTGCCTGAGAGACTCAAGGCTTTGGCTCAAACACTGCAGTATGTGTCGCATGTCCCGGAACTGACGGCTGGTACTGACGAGGTCTCCTCTACTTAGATTTGCTTGGTTCGCTGGGTAGGTTATAGCTCCGCCCTATTTCGCACTGTCTGTTCTTTTTGGCGACGTTGCATCATACAATAAAACCGCGGTCTTGGGCCTGTCCAGCAGGACTTGCCCACCGCATCATCCCTCAGCAGCTCTCGCTTTGAACGGTCGGACCGAGCATATTCGCTAACGCATCATAGGCATGTGACGCTTCTCCTCTCGGTTTTCCGCTATGTCTTGTCCTACATTACGTTCAACTACTACTCCTCGTCGGCGCAGGTAGCTTACCGCCTTGCGTTTGTTTCCGCTGCCGCGACATACGGAATTGTGGTGTACAAGGGACACATTGCCCGTGGCCGTCTCCAGGGCAGTGTTCCCAACATTGCGCTGAAGCTGGCTGGTGATGAAAATGTCCAGTACCTCGGTAAGTGATGGCGATCAAATAGCGAAGACAATGATACTGATAAGCGTAACTAGGTATGGCTTTGGTCTGGCTCTACTCGCGCCAGATCCCGTTGGCTCTGCTTCCTTTCAGCGTCTACTCCATCTTCCATGTTGCGACTTACACTCGTGCCCACCTGATTCCCACCATTCAGGGTCCCGCCCCTGGTGCCCCGGCCTCTCCCGCTTCTCCTAGCGGTCCTAAGCCCGCCGCCAGACCTTCTCCCTTGGCCGATACCATTGGACGGTTCGTCAAGCAGTACTATGACGCCAGCATGCACCTGGTCGCACAGCTGGAGATGTCTCTTCTCTTCCGTTTGGCCGTCGGCATCCTCACCTTCTCCAAGGGTAGCTTTGTGCTGTTCTTCTTCTACCTGGCCTTTTTCCGCGCCAGATACTCCCAGAGCTCCTTTGTGCAGCAGGCGGTCCGCCACTTCATCGCGAGAGTCGATGCTTCGGTTTCTCACCAGAGCACCCCCCCTGCGGTTCGCCAGGGTTGGGAGTCTTTCAAGGCTGCCGTGGGCCAGGCCTACGAGGCTACCGATCTCAACCGTATGAGCTCCGGTGCTGCGAAGAAGCCCCAATAGAGGGCCATCAGGATTGGTTTAGGACGTTCAGGATTACAACGGAATTGGTGAACTGCCCCGTGATTCTACGTGCATAGGATTTTTGGGAGCCGTTTGTTCTGGACACCGATCATTGAGACTGATGTGCCAGTAATGAATCTCCATGGCCAGCGATGTCGCCCTGGCCGAGGAGCACGGCCCTTTGATGAACAATGAAGGTTGTGAATAGTGGAGGCGAGACGAAGTGAGATTTGGGAGTAGCATCCGGGATGGTACTTTTAATTGCTCGGGGGAAGAACGCGGAGGAAGGTTACGTGAAATGTCTCAGCAAGTTTTTTCTGTCCTTGAATACGTCTCATTGTTATATATTCCAATGCGACAGTATAATGTTAGTGGCTGTCGTACTCTGCCTTCCCACCGGATTATGAGGGATTAGTAGGATGGGAAGTAGCCTATGGCGAGCGTCGGCGTCCGGCGGGTCCGATTAGACTTCCGATCGAGCGCGGAATTGTGATGCAGTGGCCACGGCTCAGTCAGCGCGTAAGCAACGCAGCGATAGGCGGATTGCCCGGCGGAAGCTTTAAGAGACAGATGCCTGAGGCTGCGATTCTAACTCGGACGGCGGAGAAAACAGGAAACCGACCGAAATTTTGGGGCCTCCCGGACGCTGGCGATGATGCCCGAAAGATCTTTTTTTATCATCGAGAGGTGCGATGCTCCCAACTCCCCTCTCCCGACCAGTGTTGGCAACATAAATTCCCCCGGAATCCACCTCTTCTCCCGCCTTGCTCTACGCCCAGTTCCTCTCGACTGTCATCCCATTCTTGTCCGGGGTGGCGTCCTTCCGTTAAACCACAGTCGCTCGCCGCATCCCAACCCCCGTGGTCTGGTCCGCACCACGATCCGGTGGGTTGCGGTATCCTTGCAATGAGCTTGACGTCGCGCTTCTTGGGCCTGTTCACGACGACAGAGACACCGTCTACCGATCCCCCTTCTCCTGCGTCGGCCTCTCAGTTCCCCAATGTTGCTCCCGCTAGCAGCGACCATGTCTTTCATTCCGCCGGTCCGATAAGCGCATCCAGCGACCATAATGCTCAGAAGGCTACGTCCCTTGCGGATGAGGAGGAGCCTCGGCCTCCCTATCTACATGTATGTTTGTTGGTCTCGTGGAGTGCGACTGTTTGACAAGCTTTGTCTTGATTGCATATAACCTCAGCTGTATTCTGACCATTGTTGCTTGGATAGGCCATGCTGGCTGGAGGTACCGGTGGTACCTGCGGTGACATGCTCATGCATTCGTTAGATACGGTTAAGACTCGACAGCAAGGCGATCCCCACTTCCCTCCGAAATATACCTCTATGACCTCGTCGTATGCGACCATTTATCGACAAGAGGGATTCTTCCGTGGTCTGTACGGTGGTGTGACGCCGGCGCTGTTTGGGTCTTTCCCTGGAACGGTCATCTTCTTTGGTGTCTACGAGTTCACCAAGCGGAAGATGATCGACTCTGGGATCAACCCCAATATTGCGTACCTGTCTGGAGGTAAGGGTGTTTGCTGCTTCGCCATGGGTGGGCGATACTAACTCGATCGCCGCTAGGTTTCTTCGCCGACTTGGCTGCCTCCATCGTATACGTTCCCTCCGAGGTTTTGAAGACGCGGCTGCAGCTGCAAGGACGCTACAACAACCCGCATTTCAACTCGGGATACAACTACCGCTCGACCACGGATGCTCTACGCACGATTGTTCGCCAGGAGGGTTTCTCTGCCCTCTTCTACGGATACCGGGCGACCATCTATCGTGACCTTCCCTTCTCGGCCCTGCAGTTCGCATTTTACGAGCAAGAACAACGGTTGGCGAAGGAATGGGTGGGCTCGCGAGACATTGGACTGCCTTTGGAAATTATGACTGCGGTTACGGCTGGTGGAATGGCAGGTGTGATGACTTGCCCGATGGACGTGGTCAAGACGCGGATCCAGACGCAGCAGAACCCGGAAAGCTTGAGCTCGACCAAGTCGGCGGGTGAACCTGCGTCGACGAAGGAGAGCCCGCGCCAGCATACGTCATCGCACACGACGTCCACCCTGCGCACCCACTCGCGACCCATCTCGACGTCTGGAGCATCGACGTCGGTCGCGCCGCCCGGGGCTCCCCGTCTGGATACCTCGTCTTTCTTCACTGGCTTGAAGATGATCTACCAGACCGAGGGCATTGCGGGGTGGTTCCGCGGAGTCGGACCCCGCGGAGTGTGGACCAGCATTCAAAGTGGAACAATGCTGGTCATGTACCAGTACCTTTTGAAGAAACTGGAAGCTTACCAGGGGGTGGAAGACCTGAGCCCTTTGTGAGGGTAAGCTTCTAACTTGCATTGAAGATTTGGCATCTGCGAGCCGATAGTGAGGTTACTATCAGCGGGTGTCTGGGACACACGGTGGGGTGTCCGCTGTAGATAAAAAGAAAAGAGCGCACCACAACCGGAGCATGAGCATGAGCATGAGCATGAGCATGAGCATTATAGACGGCTATGTTGGAAGGGTGACCGGACGGGAGTGGTATGATTTTTACTTTGTTCTTTCTTCTTTTCTTTCTTTTCGGCTTCTTTTTCTTCTAATTATTGGATTCCCATTCCCCTCCCGTCGTTTTCCCCGCATGTTGAGAGCTTCCATGATTGCATGATCGGGTGGTTGTGGTTCAGGGCGCGCATTTTGTTTATAGGAGGAAGGACATCATCTCATGTACGGATACTTTTACATTGATAGACATTAGACAAGGGCTGGTAATGAAGCATTGTATATTATTCTTCAAGAGAGAGAGAGAGAAGAGAGTTTGAGTAGAACCAGAGTTAATTACTGGCAGCAACAACAATAACAAAGCGATCGACAAAGAGAAACCCGCCAGTTGCCGAGGGGCGCGAATGAGAAAAAGTAAACAAAAAGCCGGATGCGGTCAGAGCAGCAACCGGACTGGATTGGCTCCTCCGCCGCTGTGACCTCACGAGATGCTCGCTGAACTGCGACTGATTCACTCCCTCTTCTTAGTCTGGCTCTGGTTTCTACTCGCTGGTACTACTACTACTCCTCTCCTGTTCGCCTGTCTCTTGTTTACTACCTTACCTTGTTTACCTTTCCCACCACTACTACTACTTACTTCCTTCTTCCTTCCTCCCTATCTTTCCCTATCTATATACCCTTATACTATCTACCCACCCACCTATCTTTATCCCTTGCACTTGTGCCACTGGTCGCATGGTCTAACGTGGATCCCGTACCCGCGCGAATCGTCATGCCTACCGGATTGCCTTATTTGCAGAAACTGCGCAAGCCCCAACTTGCAGAATGGGCTGAGCTCACTGACCTCCAGGAGTAAGCAGCTCCCCATGTCCATAATGACTGGCGCTGCGCTGTGGGCGCGCGCGCACACACACACACCCTCTCTCCCTCTCTTCTAACAAAGCAATAGCTATGAGGACCTCACCAAACCAGACCTCGCTGCCGCTCTGGACAGCCATCTCCAAGCCAATGAGTCCATCTTCAAAACCGACGCGCGTCTGGCCGATTACTACCGGCGACTGTCGCAATCCCCGCGCGTGCACTCCCCCACCAAGAGAGCCCCCAAGGTTGAAGCCTCTCCAACGCCGGATGAAGCTCCTCGATCTGTGCGCCGCAGGCAGGTGAAGGCCAAGGTGGAGCGCGAGCCTACGTATGATACCCCGCGCACGATAACTTCTCACTGTCGCGACTTTTTTTTGGCCTCAATTTCGCTAACTTCCCCACAGAGAGGAATCTGAACCCCAAACTCCCGGGCAGGTGGTGGGCGTGCAGCCGCCAACGATGTCATCGCTGGTGTCGGAGCTACCGCCCTCGCCGGCCGTGGTTACCGACGTGATTGATCGCCAGACAGCCGCGTGGGGCAAGTCCGTTAGCGAACTGTGGTCGGAAACGGGTGTGCACGAGCGTACCGAGTCGCTCCGCTCCAACCTTAGCAGCGTCAAGGCCTTTGGCACGTTGATATTATCGGTCGAAGCCCTTAACGTGTTGCGGGCTGTTGTGCCCTGGAATTACGTGGGCACTGTTCCTATGCCCCCGTGGACGCATCTCTCGGACTTAAAGATCGCCATTCCGGACATTTTCATTCTGGTCGAGGGGCATTTCTGGGCTGTTGTCTCGCTGTGGGCGTTGATTAGTGCGGCGCTGCCCTTTACTGTCGCGTACTTTTTCAATCTGAGCTTGCAGGCCGCGCAGGCTGGGTCGCAGGTTCGTCGCGGTCGCGCTGGTGTGCATGCGAGCTTCGATCCGTTGAGCTTCTATATCGCCAAGGCGGTTATCACGTATTTAGTCTACACGGAGCAGTTCACCTTCTGGGGTGCTTATCAGGGGTTGACGATTGATCGGTTGGAGGGGTCTGTTCCTTGGGGATTGAATGGGGCGTTGGCGGGGAGTGCTATTGGAGTGATTGGGACTTTGTATGAGGCGATTCTGAGAAAGTGATGTATAGTTGGCAGCGGCAGTGGTAAGTGGACAGAGTACAGATGATGAGGGTTAGAGGTGTGATTGGGGTGTTGACTGAGTATTCTTGCCTTTTGGCTTCGTTTTGGTTTCTTCTATCTATGTTATCCTTGGTTGTTTCGGGTCAGGGGCGTATCAGCGGACTGGACTGCTGTTACTGCTATACTTTGAGGGCGATGGGCGCTGTAGTATTGCTTGATATGTTTAAGTCTAAATGTTAGGATGAATGAATACCAACATCTATACCAGCCACCAATCCAACCTATCCAACCACATAAAATAATCTAAGAAGATGATGATGATGAACGTTTAAACCTCCCCGCCAACTCCACCGTAAACAACACCGCTCCCCCAGCACTAACCTCCACCTCCTCCGCCCGAATATGATTACTCGTACTAATCTGGCCCCCGATTTCCGTTTCCCAGGATTCCACATCCCACTGGAATCCTTTCGTCGTGATCCTCTCCGGTCCAGAGAGTGGGATAATGCCGACGTTTTCTTCCAGTAGATACTCTTCTTCTTCACCGGAGGTAGTAGAGACAGATAAATCAGCCCTCTTCACCCCAGGAGTACGAATCACATTCTTCCCCGGATGTAAGATAAACGTGATACTTTCCTCCGAGACGAGATATAATGCGCCCTCATTCCCATTCTTCCCTTCCTTCCTATCCCCTTCGGTAGAAGAAGAGGAAGAAGGAATGGTAGAGTTAGAATACAAATGATGTATCTGTGAGAATGCCTGATCGACGCGGCCGCCGAGACCGCCGAGGATTAGTATTGACAAGCTATCACTTTCTTTGTATTGTTGGTGGGTGGTGGATGATGATGAGGATGATAAGATTTCGGCAGTGTTGGCGCGAATATATCGCAATGCTTTGGTGAAATCGGTACTGTAGTCGTCGTGGTGGTAGATCACGTTTACCCCGTGCGACTCGTAGTGGGACTTTATTGTTGGGTGGATGGAGTCGAGGTCGCCGATTATGGTGGTGGGGTGCTGTTTCATATATTAGTATTGTTTCTTGGGAATTGGTGGTGGTGGTGGTGGTGATGTGAGGAGGGTAGGGTAGCATTGTATAATACAAGATTTTACGTAGACATATGTGCAAATGAAACTCCATATAAATGCATAGCCATATGCATATACAGATACAGGGGTAGTAGTTATAGCCCAGGGCATGTGCATGTTGAAGAGGGTATACATACATCTACATCCTCTCTCCCCCGCGCTTTCATCATCTCGTAGAAGTGGTTGGCGCCGCCGTCGGCGCAGACGGTTGTTAGTGCTATCTTCTTTTCAGTATTTATCTTCCGGTATAGCATCTGTGTATAGAGTGTGGTATATACCATGCTTTTGTAAAACATCATATGCTCTCTCGTTGATTGGATGGTTGAGGATGAGCAGGGCGTAGGGACTCGAGGGAAGGCCTTCTTCCGTTCGGAAGAATTGGGTTGGGTCCCAGGTCATTAACCTTGTAGGTGCCATGGATAGTTGGGTGGGTATATGAGGAGATTCAGTAGTAGATATATGCAGATGAATGGATTTATTATTGTTAGTAGTCGGTAGTTATGTTACTAGGAAGTGGAAGATAAGATATGGTGGGGTGAGAGGGAGGGGGTGTGTTTTGGGTCCCGCGAAAATTTGGTAGAGTTCGGTGATAACAACTTTCTCCGTTTATAAGAGTGTCCTTGGGGTTCTGATGCTGATATAGTTTCTTGATTAGTAGATTAGATACTAAATGTGCACGCGATCCCTACTACCCCTCAGTGATCTTCTATCATGGATGACTAAATACTTTCAGGGAGGTTATTGGTGGTGTGCTTGCATATCATTCAGTCATAGCATCGTCAACTACTTACAAGTACTAGTGCTATATGTGAAAATCAAATTGAACAGAAATATTGCATCAATACTCACACTCCTCCAGCCTCATCATGATCTCCAAATGTCCATACTCCGCCGCCCACACAAATGGCGTCTTCATAAACGAATCCACCGAATGGGCATTCACCTCCTCGCGATCCAACAGCAACTCCACAATCCTCTTACTCCCAGCCTCTGCCGCATAAGACAGTGGTGATCGCGCCGTCTCATCACTCCACTCCGCATCAACATCCTCATCCGCGAGCAGCAACCGCACAATCGCCTCATTCCGATACTCCGCCGCATATGACAATGCTGTTCGCCGGAAAATATCCACTTCATTTGGCCGAACATTCCTGTTCGCCAGCAAGATCTTCACTAACCCCTCGTCCTGCTTCTTGGCTGCCCACACCAGCGGCGTGAAGTAGAAGTAGTCCAGCATGTAGCTGTTGAAATCACCCCGCTCGAGCAGCAGCTTGACGAGCCAGTGGTTCCCGTATTGTGCGGCACATACTAAGGGGATCTTCCAGTTGTTATTCTGCACGTTGACGTCTAGGTCTTTCTTGCTGAAGAGAGCTCGCGCGAGTTGTCGCGATGGACCTTGGTCTTTGGCCAGGATGTGCAGAAGAGTGTCCCCGTTGGCTTCCCGCGTCATGAGCTGCTTGGAGGATAGTCGATGGATGAGCTCGGGGGCGGAGAAGAGGAGCATGTATTGCTCGACTGGTCTGCAGAGGCCGAAGAGGAGGAGCAGGATCTCCAGTGGGACTTGACTGGGGATACTGACTGTGAAGCATTAGTTGTTTAGTATCGATGAGGAATTATTCTTTGAGGTAGAATCCTTACTAGGTGCCATCATCTTCTGTCCAGTATACATCTTCATGTCTTGTGTACTGTGTAACCTCTATAAAGTCAGGATTGTAGATCGGACTGCAGACCGGAGTAGACAATGAACTTCAACAGACTGAATACATACCCTCTGGGGGCATCTCTCTTATCTACATGATTTCAGCTCAACTACTCGGTATAACCAGATGACACTAAAATGAGGAGAAGCATCCCATCCATGCAATTCAGCACTGGCAGCACCAACAGCGTATCGCGCCCCCCTCTGATTGGTCAATCCGGGGCGGACCAGCAGAACAGCCCAAACAGGCAAGAACATCCCTGCCTGAGGCATCCAGCGTCAAATCGAGGTGGTGGAATTGGTTTGCATCTCCATCTCCATCTCTCATCCCCCGTCCACCTCCATCCACTCCCATCCGTTGGTTTCCCGCCCAATTCATGCCGCTCGCCTCGCGGTGATACCCCCCTCCTCTTCCTCTCCTCTTTACCATCACCTCCCTTAATTGTCAATCCCAACTTCCCCCACTCTCACCCGCCATGTTTCGCTCCGCACCTCGAGCTATCCTCCGCGCACCGGCCGTCGCAGTCCGTGGCCCGGCTGCCAGACGATTGATAAGCACCAACACACCCGCCGACTCCAAGCCGAGGAGTTGGAAGAGCACCGCTGCCCGCTTGGGTCTGGCCATTGGCGCTGTCTACTACTACAACACGAGCCCCTACTTCGCTCAAACCCCGTCCTGTACGTTGTTGCCGTTGCCCGTTGCCGCTGGGTTTTTTCCTACCGCATGCATGGCGGTTCGCCGTCATGCCTCGGAAGAGAGAAAGAAATTCATCACACCACCCCCATCCTCCCATCAGACCAGTTCAGCTAGCTAATGATGCAGTCTCTCTTCTCTCGCAATCTAACTCCGATTCCGCCGAAGCCGAATCTTCTCTCACCATCGACTCCATCAAGCCCAAGATCCGCGAACAGAAGCAGAAGAAGTCTGCTCCCGCTCCCACTCCTGCTGCCCCCGAAGCCCCTCAAGATGATGCGCAACAACCCTCCCCCGAATCTGCTTCGATGATGTCCCCCGAGGAGCTTGAGGCCGAGGCCGGCCAGGAAGGCGCCTTCAACCCCGAGACCGGCGAGATTAACTGGGACTGCCCTTGTCTGGGCGGTATGGCTCACGGACCCTGCGGTGAGGAGTTCAAGGCTGCTTTCAGCTGCTTCGTGTACTCCTCTGAGGAGCCTAAGGGTATTGACTGCATTGAGAAGTTCAAGTACGTAAACTCGTCTCCGAACCATAACCATGGAATGCATTACTAATGCGGGGAACCACTACTTAACAGGGGCATGCAAGACTGCTTCAGACTACACCCCGACGTGTACGGCGCTGAGCTCGAAGATGACGAGGAGGCTGCTGCTGCTGCTGCTGCCGTTCCCGCTCCCGAGGCCGGTGACGAGCAGCCCGTGACCGCCGCTCAGATCGAAGCTGCCTCCCACCCCGAGGAGAAGCGCGCCCATGCACAGGAGATCAACGCCCAGACGAAACAGGAACTCGCCGAGAAGGGTGAGCTGGCTGAGGCGGAGACCTTGGTGCCCAAGGCGGCTCACGATGCTGTTCCCCAGACGGAGAAATAAGCAATGAATATACCATATGGCAGAGTTTGGAAGATGCAGCATTGGAATATCGAAGAACAGGAAGCATATGTGATTTGAATAAATAGAAGAAGAATGTTGGGAGATGTATAAGATCGGGCAAGCCAGTGTATTACTATATGCATGCATGATTTCTTTTTTTCAGCTCATATTTATACCCGCTCGTCCACTCGGTCTCTTCTCTTCCCATTTCCTTCGTTCATTTTATTTCTCCGTTACTCTGTTCGGTGATATTCTTCTGCTCTTCTTTACCTCCTCTTCTCCCTATCTCTGCTCCCATCTCCAGTCTGACTCTGACTCAACTCATTGATTGATTGATTGATCTACCAGCATCTCCCACCATCTCTATATCCTATTTTCCTTTCACCTTTTTTTCTTGAGTCACACTGTATCTAAGTAACTGACTGCCCCTGCACTGCACCTGTACTTGTACTTTTTCTTTTTCATGTTTAGCATCTCGGTCCAAAAGAGAGGGGAGAGGGAGAGCGGAGTAGATTGAATAGACATAGATGATTTCAGTTCCATCCGATTTATTCTTGATTTAAGTAGGGTAGTAAGTAGCAACTGATTTACATTCTGATTTGATTTCTAATTTAAGTGGCTGGCTCATGAGAGTGAGTGATTGTGTAATGGATGTATGTGGCATTTCCATGGCAGGTAATGGATTGAATAGATCACGTCTCCTCACATCACGTCCATCTATCTCCCTTCTGCACTAGCCAGCTGGGGGTAGCCAGTTGGAGGAGATTAGTAGAAGAAGCTGGGATTAGGACGGAATATAATCATGCCGTGCCCAGGGAGACTCTTCTATCTCCCTATAACAGTTGTTCTGTGTCGGGGAGAACCACACACAAAGTTAGGAATGATCACTGTGTTGAACAGATGACCTGTTTGCTATGCTTGGGAATGCATGCGACATACCCATTCACTTCCACATCACACCGCCGATGTATCAATAACCGAGTGGTTGGTTGATTGTCAGACAACGTCTTGTCTGCACATAATTAGGATGAAACCATGCACACAAGGTAAACAAGTGTGCGTTTGTGACAAGTTGTCAAACAATCAACCCACTGACTAATGGGACGACTGACGCGAAAAGCGTATTAGTCAAAGACTAGTCCGAACAGCGCACTGCTGGTCTTTTCTCTAGTTCATGAATGTATACCATGACTGTTAGCTTCCATCAAAGGCATCATCTACCAGTTCACATCGCTCAGTTGGAGTTTCCGGGATCGGAAAGCCGCCCTGGCCGCGCTTGATTTGTCCATTCTGGTGTCGCGATGGGGGGAACGCTTCTCTGCGGCTGCAACACTGTCAGTGTATAGAATACACCCGGAATACTGCAAAGGACGTACCATCGGTGTTGGTCTCTGCTTCATTGGTCATTTCATAGTTGAGGACCAGGTTCTTGATCCGTTGCTGTTCCTCGCGGTCGGCTTGCTGCTGGCTTCGCATTGCCACGGCGAAGCTGGAGTCGGAGGGCAGGTCAATCGTGCGGGTCTGCATGGTTAGTCATGAGACTTGCAAGAAATCGATGGAGAGCCTACCTGCTGCTTGTTCCCCTTCTTCGTCATCAATGAGAACGCCATGGTGTTATTCGTGGGCTTGGGTGCCTCTGGCGGGGGCGTCTCAAGCGCTGCCTCACGTCCAGACCGCTTCATCGGCAAAGGTATGTCAAACACACCCTTACGTTCGAATTTCCGGGATTCCATGCTCTCCGCCATCATTTTCTCGAATTCACGGTCAAATTCGGCTTCCGCCTCTGGGTCGCGTTCCTCTTCCTGTCGAGTTACGAAGATCTCTTCGTCTTCGGACTCACTGTCGCCATTTTGTTCGCCGTTCGGACCGGACACCTGTTGATACGTTAGTAGATAATCATAATCTTAACGTCGGTCAACGAACCTCAGCCTCGTCGCTCGACTCCTGGTCCTCTTCCTCGAGCATTGCATCTTCTTCCAGACCCTCGTCCGAAGAGCTGCTGTCCGCATCGTCCTCATCAGGCTCAGCAGGTCTTTCTGCATCCTGCGTCTTGAAATTCTGCGCCACAGCTTCACTGAAAATCTGCGTAGCCTCAGCCAAATCAGCTGCTAGCTTCCACTGAGGACGAGTCATGGAGAAGGTATCCTGGACTAGAAAATCAACGTCCATTGGCAGGGGATCCTTCGTATGCATGTAGTACTGTTTTGGTTAGCCTTGAATTTCTTGCGGACAGTGGCAAAAATACCTGGAAGAAGGTCAAGAAGAAGTCAAGCTTCTTTTTGGCAGAGCCACGATCGAAGCAGTGGCCGCAGGTGTCAAGAAGAGTGCAGACCAGACGGACACGGAAGAAGTCATCAGGCAGGTCAAGCGGGTTGATCCTTCCAGGCATGGGCGTACCGCCCTCTGAGAGCTGTTAATGACGTTTCGCGGACGGTGTCGACTCACTCACCATGGCCAAAGGTAATAATGCGATACAAGGTGTCAAAGATCACCGGTGAGTCAATCATCTTGTAGTTGTAGAGCTCTCCGAGGTACTTGACTTCAGCGATTCGCTTCTGGTTGAACTTGAAATCGTTCTGCTCCAGACCCAGCGTGATCTGCTCGAGGATGTTGTCCACAACGCCGATGACGAAATCCTGGTGATACCTATAAAGGGCACTGACGAGGATCGCGAGAAGGTGGATGTTGCCATATTTGACCTTCACCGGTTTGCTGAAGACGCGCTCCAAAATATCGACCACCTATCACGCATTTAGTATGATCTTCGTACACCGCTTCGCTCCATGCTGTACTTACATCTTGCTCCTCCCAATGAAGCTTGCGGATCGACTTGAGGATCTTAGTGTAGTTGCGCTTGTTCATATCCAGGTAGACCAGTCTGCGGATGTAAGACTCCATAGGGGTGCGCTCCTTCTGCTGAATGGCAGGTCGCGGTGGCGGATCAACGTAGTAGACTGCATTCTCGATGATCATCCGTTCCTGCTGACCCAGGTGCTGAACAGTCTTCTTCCTTCCTAGAGTCTCCAGGAAAGAAGCCATTCTCGGGGACGTGTCAGGGTTCCGAAGCAGATAGCGTCCACAGTTCTCCAGGAGATGCCCGATGATCTCAATGTTCATGCGCGAAAAGTCATCCAGCGAAACCTTGAAGCAGTGGAAGATGATATGCTCCGGAACTACACCAAACTTGGTCAGTTCGGCCAAATAACGGACATTGCTCATCCGAACCTGGCCCAGGAACTCCTTTGACTTCCGGCGCTGGAGGCTTCGGAACTCCTCGTCCAGATAGTTGGTGATTCCCTGAGGAATATCAGGCATGTACTGTCCTAGGGTTGCAACAAGACGAGAGTACAAGGGAAGAAGATCGATGCGGCCCTTGGGGACATCGGAAACTGCCTTGATGAGCCTATTCCGAGACGCCTTTGAGTTGAGGAAGCAAAAGTCTAGCGCCATCTGGTCAACCTGGTCCTTGGTCTGCAGATCGGGCAGCTTAGCCAGAAGCGCGTCCACCTGGGCGCCGACAGTCTTGCTTGCGATAGCAGTAGACTGGTCATCGGCATCTGCAGCAGCCTTCTCCTCGGCTGACTGCGCTTGGCCAGCTTCAGTCTTCTCCGTATCTGTACCGTCTTCTTCTTTCTTCTTTCCGGCCTCATCCTCCGCCTTCTTCTTCTTGCCATCCTCCAACAGTACCGCCGGCACTTTACCCTTAAGATCGACCAGATTCTCGTAGAAGCGCCGTTCCTCTTCGTCTTCCCAGATACCCGCGCCCTCTCCTTGGCCACGCAAGTACTCGCTAGCTTTCACCAGGCCGATACCACCGCCCGCTCCAGCATCAGCGGCCTCCTTCTCGGCCAAAGCTGGCATTTCCACGCCCAGAACCTCACACAGGACCTGAGTGTTGGTAACCAGTTTCTCCAGCGACTTCGTCTGCTTCTCAAAGTTGGCCTGGCGGTCTTCGAATATTTCGCCACTCTTCACGTATGCTTCGGCATTGCGACGGCTCTGGGCGGCCAACGCTCTCTGATCGCGAACAACATGTGCCTTGACATCCTCCAGGTACCGATTAAGGATATGCTTGAACCGAAGCTGAGTCTTCTCCGAAGTGAGCGGCGGGTCATCACCCTCCGGGGCTGTTGCATCCGCCTCCACATCGCCATTAACAGTAGTTGTAGCGCCATCAGCTTCGACAGTCTTCCTACCCTCCTCGACCACCTTCACGCCCAGCACATCCCAACTAAAGCTCTTGACGAACAACACAGCCAGTGGTAAATTTGAATGGTCGCGATCATGTCCAAGTAGGTCCTTCAACACCTCCAAAGGAAACGGCTCGGGCTCCCTCTCACCATCCTTACCAGCAGACGGCGGCGCCCTTCTCACCGGCCCATCCGTCGCCTTTCCGCCAATACCAACAACTCCATCCTTGCCCTTCGCGCCCACATCATCCGGCTTCTCAATATCATCCAGTGTCTTCAACACCCCCACCAGCCACAACTCCGTAACAACCCTCAACAACACCCGATGGCGAGACAACCGTTCCTTTTCCTCGCGCTCGCGCAACTCCTGGCTGAGCGCCTTCAGCTGTCCTCTATCCGGGGTACTCAGGCCCCGCCCTAGCAGCCATCCGATCTGGCGGGTGAATTCGGCAGGTCCGAAGCGCTGGTGCAAGGCACTAGTAATTTCGACACCTGTAGCAATTTCGCCGGGCGATTTGAGCTTGCAGAGACCTTCATAGCAGGCGGAGATAATTTCCGACAGGTATTTGTGCAGCGAGAGGGTGCGGATATCGGTTAGGAAGGTTTGTTGGGCAGCGGCGTTGATTCCGGTGCGGAGGCGCTTGATGAAAGCGGTATTCTTTTTCAAGGCTGAATCGAGGGATTTGCTGACCGGGAAGACATCTGTTGCATCAAGCGATCAGTTAGTTAGTTAGACAGTTACAATAACTCCATGTGGTTCCGATGCCGGATCAAGTTCATGTATCGGCGTAGTGGGTTGAATTGATGGGGGGGGGGGGGGGGTTTCTTTACCACTCTCGCCGGCCCATACTTTCTCATTTTGGAGGCGGAGATCCCCTGTAGACGGAAGGAATAAGTTAGCGAACCCAAGTTGGGGGAAGTTTGGTGACATGTGGTGTGGAGTGGGATTGAACATACGCTTCCTCTGACGATCCATTGCTTGCCGCGGTGTGCGGTGGTGGTGGTGCAGCAGCAGCAGCAATCAGCGCGTGGGTTGATCTCAACTGTCCGGGGAACCTTTCAAAGAGTGGGAAAGGAAAGCGCATGAGTGACTTGAACGCCACATTGGTGAAGCGGGCAGGAGGCAAGTGACGCGCAAGGTGTCTCGGGCGTCAAGGGGAGGTGGAGAGAGGGGGAGGCAAGCCTTGGAAGTGGCTGACGGAAGTTGAAGTGAAGCGCAGCTGGGAAAGTGAAGAAGAACTAAGTGGGCCGAAGGCGGAGTTCGTCATTACCCCAATAGTACTACTTACTCTCTGCGATAGAGTCAAATACTTTTGTTTCAAGAAATAATTACTTCTTTTTGTTGGCACCGCCATCAAATTTGTATTACTGATCCCATCTCCCTAACAGAATTCACTCTGACGGAATAACCCCATAAACCTCACATTCACATCAGACATTAACCACAAACCACCACATTCTCATTCAAATTCCCATCCATTCCTACCTTCAACCATAAATTACCATCAAATTCCATCTCCCTACTTCACACAGAAACATCCTACTCATCCCCCATCTCACCACCATCATGACCCCTCACCTCCGAAAACCCCATCTCCCTCCCCTCCGTCTCCAACAACCGCGCCTGCAACGCATGCTTCCGATCCTCCTCACTCCAACTATAATGCCGTACCACGGGCGGCTTGATACTCCTGCCTAGGATGCGACTGCTGGGATCTTCTTGCTCTCTTTCGGGACTGCTTTGCGTGTGCAGCGGTGCGTCTGCGCCTGCGTCGTCTGCTTGATGTTGACGAGTGCGGGGGAGGGTGGTTGGTTCGATGGTAGGGATGATTCGTGGGTTTGGGGACATGTTGGATGTTGATGGATGGTTTGGTTTTGAGGGAGGGTGTATTGGATTGGATTGAATTGGATCAGACTGAGGGTGTGTTGTAGGTAGGTAGGTAAGTAGAAAGATATAGGTAGGTTGTAGACTGGTATGGTATGCTACCTAGCGATGTAGTCGAGGTCAAGGTACCTTGAGGACCATATGTTTCGGGAAAGCAAGGGGCAAAGGAGGATGGATGGAGTAGTTGGGGATGGATACGGGTCTACTGGCTTAATATGCCTGCCTGCCTCCTTCCAGCAGATAGCATCCCGTGAATCTCGGATGGGATCGTGGCGATACGATGTGGGCTGACGTCTAAACCATGGCCAAGAATAATCCAGTTCCGGCTAGGATTGGACAGGAACGAAGCCTGGATAGTGCTACTGCACGACGCGGCCAGATAGTTGATGGTGGTGTTGTGCTTGGACCTGAAGTCATTGGGACATCATCTATGGCGCAGGCACGTGATGCCAGCTGCGGTGGAAACCAATGATCGTCCCATGTTCCTGGCTTCGAATTTAATTGTGAACGATGTAAGAGGCTTGCATCTGAACATAACTAAAACGCTTTTGTTTCCCTAAGAAACTGTGATAACATACAGGTCATGAGGGTTGGGTTGGGTTGGGTTGGTTGAGGGTCCAGGGCTGATGGGCATCTTGCCAACAGCGCACTGGGAGACAATATTGAAGGAAATTTTCAGACGCGGATTCGTTGACGGACGTCACACAAGACACGGGTAGGTCTTGAGCGCCCACAGAAATAGCAAGGTCTACACCATGAGGCATGGACAGAGACCCTGACTCGTAATGGTCAATGCTGCCACAAAAGGAAACACAGTAGACATCGCACGTGGACAAAACAATACATCTGGCTTGGGGGACCGTTAACAGAACGCAACAAAGGAAAGAAATCCACATCATCATACACCTTCATACAGCAACAAAAAAATCGACAGGGTATGCCCACGCCACGCTATGCGAGTCCTTGAAGAAAGATAGGAAGAAAGAAAGAAAGAAAGAAAGAAAAGGGGAACGTTGCAAATATGTACTCAGAATCCAAGAAGGTCGTGTCAAGATATTAGCAGGGATCGAATGACTTTTTATTGTTTATTTGGGTTTGCGCCAGAAGTATTGCTGCGAAGGTCAGCTATATGTTACTGTTTAAGTGGGGATAAACGTACCTTGTGCTGCTTGCGGCAGTTGCGGAGGCCCGGCTTCCTGAGATCATGCACAACCGCCTCGCGTCGCATATCGTCCTCGTCAAAGTCAGGAATGTAATAGTACTCGGCTTCCAGAGGCTTTCCTGCGGCATCCTTTCCCTCCCGTGCTACCTTTCCAATGCACTTGGTCGTGTCCAGGATGGCACGTATCTCTTCTTTCGTGGGGCCCTCTTTGTGATGGCCGTCCCGTCTCCACAAGGACGGTGGGAGGTTGTTCAAGATTGTCGAAAATGGCGTGGAGGAGAGCCGAGAGAACGCCAATTGGTTGGCGGCATGGTTCTGGACCCGTTCAAAGCTCTCGCTCAACGGTTCCAGCTTGGTTACTGTGCTCTCCGTCGACTCAACGGCCTTGGAGGGTTGTCCCGGGGACTTGGTAGGCTGGACAACCTGGTTGCGGGGTCGTGCAGGACGGAGTGGTGACTCATCCGCAGTGAATGAGGCCATCCGAGGGAGTAGATTGTCGCCAAAGGGTCCAAAGGAATGAACAATGGGGTCATTTTCTTCATCATGGTCCGAGAAGTCATCTTGCTTGCTCAGCTCACTCAACTCGCTCGACTGCGAGCTCTGCAGAATGTCACTAGCGATTGACGACGACTTCAGATCTGCATCAGCAGTGCTGTTGCGACGGCTAGGTGAAGCCTCGTCTTCGTATACGACCACGGAATTCCGCGAGCGTGTCGGGGTATATATGGGTGACGATGGGGGCACCAGAGACTTGACCGCAGGGGACGGCGAGACGGGAGACGCCAAGCGCTGACGTTCCACATTGGGGCTTTCGTGAATACTCCGACGGGACTGTGCTTTACGTTTGGGTGTAGTCTCCTCCCATGTCTGCTCGGAATCCGTCGAAGCATAATCCTTTCGGTCACTTTGAGGCCATTGGACCAGCACGCGGGCGTCATGAACATCGATCATGATGTCAGCATCCTTGATATCCGAAGTAAACGTCTTTCCCTTGGCCAAGTCATATGTTTTTCCCTGACAATGCAACTTAATTCCATTCCATCCCATGCACATGATCTCCACTCTATCAGGGTCAAAGGGATTAGCTGCGGGCTTGTAAGTAGCCTTGACATGCACCCTCGATATCATACGGTTGGCCGCGAGCTGGTGATGGCACGAGGCACTGGACCTTCCCATCAGGACAGGCTCCCCGCTCTCGGGAAGTGTTATGGTAGGGACAGCAGACAGAGGGGTTCGTTCGGAGCTGGACGAAGTAAACGTACGCCGTGAGGCCGTTCGCGGCAGGGCCATTCTCGGGGGGGAGGAGGACAAGATATGGGTCGACGAGGTCGGCACCGGCGTAGGGTAAGTCGAGACAATGCCATGATTGTCGCGTGCTACACGCTTCTGTGGACGAGGAAGTGAGGGAGAGGAGCTCAATGGCTCAAAGGCAGGCAACAGGGCCGCGGGACGCTTCACACCTGCCACCGGAGCAGCCAAACTGCTCCTTGGAGGCGAAGACTCCATGATGTTATTAAGTTGAAGTTTAAGGCCGTCTGGTCGTGTACCACGACCCGGACACGCTCGTATACCACTCGAACAACGGCAGGAGGGGTGGACGAGGATTAAAAAAGATCAATTGAGGCTTTCGTCGCGTCGAGGAAGAAAAGGTTGGGAGAGGAATGTCTAATTCTATGGGGGGTGGGAGTCAATTCACGAGACTCGGGGTCCCGAAGGAAAGAGAGAGAGAGAGAAAGACAAGATGAAGCGTGTCAAGGATGACAAAGGGAAGGAACTTTGAGGCTTCACCCCCCAAGACGAGGGCCAGGAGGTTGGGGAAGTACGAAACTGGGTACGAACAGGCAAAAAACGAGAAACATTGAAGAAAAGGGTGAAAGGATGGTGTGTGGTGGAATGCCTGCCGGAACGGAGCGTCTCGTCCAGCGCGGAAATGCACGCTTACAACCCGAGACGCGTTCGATAGGCGCCGACGAGGGTCGAGAGCTCCACCACTAAGCTCGCGCAGCCTCGCAACTTGGACCGTCCGAAACTATGCAATGCACTGCTGACTTGGGTGGAAGGGAAGTTTGCCAAAATATGCCAGACTTCGATTGCGTACAGGTGTGGGAAAAAAAGGTAAATCAACCCTGGCGGCTCCCTGAGTTCCAGCACTCCCCTGCGTGTCTAACGGAGGGAGGAGAGGTGGCTAGTCTATAATCTCGGTATACACAACCCTCGACACCCCAGGCAGGAACGAGGCGCGTCTCCGCGTCTAGGAGTCATGTGCTCCGCGTTTTCTGGTTCGGGCCCCGTGATGGCGCGCCTGATCACGTGGTGTTGGACACCCAGCCTCGGCCAATGACCAGTCGAGGCCTTACCCAAAATAGTAAAGCCATGTGCCCGTTGCAGGGATTTCGTACAGATCGTGACTCGCTATCCCCATCTGGACTAGTGCGTGCGACGTGAACAGTCCTCAACGGGGTGGATGACTTCAACTGCCCCTGATGGCATCCACCAGAATACTACCTACGCAGGCTCGAACTTGGTAAATGGTCTCATCATCGAGCCAGGTACGGGTCCCGGAAAATACACCCGGAAAGATGAACCCTCTTTATGGTGTGATATAAGTCACAACGTGTAGTTCAATCGCCGGTTCCATGGCATCATCACCCCTCATTGCGGTAAATATATACTTAGTAGCAATAGTAGTAGTAGTAGTACCCTTCCCGGAACAAACAGTCGCAATTGCGCCCCCAATCCACCATAACAGTTGGTCTCTGTTACTTAAATCTCACTTTACAATGCAACATTAATGATACAATATATTAGTCAGGAAATGAGGACAATGACTACTTAAGTGGCGATCAAAACAGCTTAACCCACTATAGAACTTCAAAGAACCAACATGAATAAATTATTGATATGACGGACCTGAAATGCCAAACCCCAGCCCACTTCTGACATGCCACACATCACCGGTGACAGAACCCTGAAGAACTCACCGACCGATCGGGGGGCTCCACTTATGCACATTCCAAGGTCACCGATATCTGATAGATAGATGGACACATCAGACCGTGCATGACGCAGGTGGATGCCGCCCTGGAATGCACCTCCACCGCCTCCCGAGCACTCTATCGAAGGATAATCTACATGCCAGCCCTGACACACCTGCTTTCACTTAAACTCAGGAGGCTGGGGGTGGGACCCGCCAGGTTTCGTAGGGCCGCCCTTCTTACAAAAGCTAGTTGTCGCCTTACGCGGTCACAAATACGGCGTCCATGCACCCAGATGGTATCAGATCGGTACAGAAAGAGATAAATCCATCTTCAATCAACTGACATAAACAAAACTACTATACAAGGCATTGCTAGCTTATAACATGACGAGCAAATCTGGCTGCTCACGGGGGGGAATAAGGTAGAAAAGTGCGGCTAGAAAAACGGAAATCAGTGTTACTTTGCAGTAGAGAAGGTAAGGTCTAACCACAATCGTCTCCATCAAGGGAATGGCGACGCGACATATGTGACAGGTGCTATATTTTCCAAGCCACATAGGACAATATAGTAAGATACAGAGAAGAAAGCAACCGCACTGGACAGAGAATCATGAACAGAATGAACAGAGGCATGAAAGTTCTTCTATTTGCGAGCCGACGGGGTTCGATTCAAATCAGCGGATGCGAACCGAATCGTACGGCCACGGCGGGTGGGTGTCGGGCCCTCGACTAGCTTAGTAGAAGACATAGGTGGCGGAGCCGGAGAGAACCTCAACCTGTAGGTGAATGATGATCAGCAAAAGATCCCAGCAAAAAAGAGGGGAAATGAATGCAGGTCACTTACAGTGCAACCGGAGTCGTTGGAGCCAGACTCGGAGTAGAAGGTACCATCCTCATACTTGCAAGAGCCGCTGAGGTTGTCACCCTGGATCTTCACGTTGAAGTCAAGCTTGGTGGTGGTGGTAGGGCTGTTCTGGAACAGAGAAAGCCACTTGCCATCGTTGTAACCGACACCAAGGTTGATAGGAGCCCAGTTGCCGATAGGAGAGCTGCCGTTACCCCACTGGCAACCAGTCTCGGTGGAAACACCCTTGGGGTTAACGTAGTACTGAGCGGAAGTGGTCTGGTTCTCCCACTTGTAGTAGGTGGCGCCGTTGGGGCAAGTCAGGGGGTGGAGCTCGCTGTTGGCAGAGACAGTGAGAGGGATGGTCTCGGATTCGGTACCTGTATACATGATTAATGCCTTTGTTTTGACCCACATGTCGGAAGGGAAGTTCAATGCTTACCAGGGTAGTCGGTACGGCAAACAGCGACCTCCTCGCTCATGGTGTTCTTCACGTGGACACCTCCGACACCCTCAATGCAAAGCTTCTTGGACAGAGACTTGTTGGTAAGGTGGAGCTTGCCGTTCTTGCACTCAATACCACCAACGGACTGGCCGGTAGAACCCTGGGCACTGGGCCACTGGGACTTCTGGTATCCGGCAGGGCAGGCATAGGAGCACATGGCTCCGGAAATGCAGGAATCGCCGGTGACACCGGTAACGATGGTGTCGACAATCTCGTCGACGATGGTCACGTACTGGATACCAGACCAACCGCCAAGGCCAAGGTAGTCGAGGGCAACGGCACCGTATTCAGAGGGGAAGGTGTCGCAGTCAAGCTCGCCATCAGGGAATTCCTTGTCCACACCGGTGGCAGAGGAGGAGCTGCTGCTAGAGCTGCTGGCGGAGGAGCTGGAGGAGGCCGCGGCGTACGAGCTGCTGGTCTTGGTGCTGCTGGAGCTGGAGCTGGAGCTCGACGAGTGCTGGACGGCGACCTCGATGAACTCAGCAGCAGCCTGGACGGAAGCCGTGGGAGTCGGGCTGGTGGTGCTCGAAGCCACAGTAGAAGAAGAGGACTGGCAAACATCCGCAGGCACGTTGCCAGAGAACTTCAAAGTTCCCTTGCGGATACCAGCGCAGGCCTCCTCATAGGTAATGACCTTGCCGTCGAGAACGAAGGTGGTGACGGTAGGACCGGGCACCGTGACGACCTCGGCGTCGGGGGAGCGCTTGTGGTGATGGCGGTGCTGGTGGTGGTGCTGAGCGGACACCAGGGTACCGGCGGTAGCCAGGGTGAGGGCGACAGTATTGAACTTCATCGTGTCGGTAATCTAATTCGCACGGGGTCGCAAGCTGTTCAGTGTTGCGTCAGATTGTGGATCTAATCTATATAAACCACGGGATCCCATATTAGCATGCGCTCAACCTCCATTGACCACAAGCCGGTCTGTTCGATACTAGACACTAGCCATGTATGTGCTTGCTTTCTTCACTGCGTAATGCAAGAGAACGAAGAGCTGCACTGCTATTGTATGTGCTAAGTGATCCCGGGTGTTTCGCGGAGGTGCACATGATAGGAGACATACCAAATTCACAGCAAGCCAGTCGCGCGCTTCTTGCAAAAAATCTGTACACGAATCGAAGTCCTCGTGGGGCAGCGGTTGCTGAAAGTCTGGCAGAGACAAAGCAAGTTGCCTAGAATAGAGTATGAGAGTTAAAGAGTGAAAGAGAAGAGAGAAACAGGTTCCCAAAAGAGCGTACGAGAGAGAAGCTAGTTCTCTCAGGTCGGATAGGAAATCTCGCGAAGGATAGCAGGCGAAGGGCCGAAGATGAAACGCTCTGGGGGGGAAGGGAGGCAAGAAAATGTGGAGGGGGATCTCGAGGGAGAAAAGGGAAATCGGGAGGGAGATGAAGGAGTAAGTAAAGGTTTAGTTCGCGCCGTAGACCAGGGGGGGGGAGGGATTGAGTGGGCAAGAGGCGATAGACTAGCTTAGTGTGGATGTGGGCAGGAGGGACAAGGAAGGCGTGCGCTGACCTTTTTTTTCCAGGGGGTGAACCAAAGGAACCAAGAAAGAGAGTGTGAGAAAGTAAGTGAGAGGAAGAGAGAGAGCGTGGCACTTGGGCCGAATGAGTGGATGGTTAACCAAAAAAGAATAAAATTCACAGGCAGGGAAATAATGGGAATACTAATAAAATAACAAAAATAATCATAATAAATTATCAGGGGGGCCCACAGCCCGAAGGCTCAAGACATCGGGTTGAGTTAGTGTGGGCTGTTAGCCTTTTAGCGTTGGAAATTAGCTTGTTACAGTTGTCCGTATCTGTAGTATCTGCGCGGTATTGTCCTCTTCTCCTTTCGGGGGTGGGCAATATTAATCCCTATTTTTGTGTCAAGCTACGGAGTATAAAAAACATTAATGATTGTCGCAGGACGGTAACTCTACTCCCGATGAGAAGATCAGGGACGGACGGGTATGGAGTATTACTATTATGGGACGAGAGCGCGGGAAAGGGTATGAAAGAATCTATCTACGGGCACGGTTTTGAAAAGGGGCGAGAATACTTCTGTAGTAAGAAAGAGAGAGAGATCACTGACAAAAGGATCTCAGACCCGTTTTTTCTTCTCCCTACCGTTGTGATGGTCAGGCGATGGACAGGGGGGGCGCGGCACTGGAGAAAGAAGGCCAAGAAACCACCGGGGTTAAAATAAAAAAAAGTCAACATGGACGACGCAACGTGAGTCGTGAGAACCGCTGAGAATTGCAGCTGTGAGTGGAGACAAGTGGATAGAATAGACAGGAACCGCCTGGGCTCTGGAACACTGGGCCAGCAAGCCAGCAGCCTTGGGGCTTTTCTGGGCCACGGCGGTGATTTTCCCCTTTGAAACCCTTACGTTTTTTTCATCTTCTGCTGGTTTCTCTTTCTTTTTTTGTGTTTTGGGGCCTTCCTGTTCCTGAAAGTGAGCTTGGCGTTTACCGAAATTACTGTGTCTCGCTGGCCACTCATAACCGGCTCTCGGGCACCAGCCGGTGGGCCATCAAACCTTCTCCCCGGTCAGGTACACCAATCATCGGGTCCTGTGCTGCCGAACCATTGCCACAATTTGGCCTACCAGGGAATGTCTCATGTCGGATCTCAATGTTGGCCTGCAGTAGGGGGAGTACTGTAAATAATATTAGCAGTTTAGCACTCACCTACTTACTATCTACCAGTAGTCCTCGACTGAGTCTGCTCGCTGTTCCAGTCGGGTTTGACGGGCGGTAAAGATATTTTCAGCCCCGAAACCATGACCCAGCCTACTTTGTACTTCCCTCATCAAGTGTTCCATAAGTACACCTTTGTTGGTTGAATGGAACGGGGCCAATTCATCAATCAATCAATCCATCAATCTGGCTGACACATCTCCCCGGCGGAGTGCGGGAATTCCCTCCATCTGATTCTGATGTCACCGATTCCCCTCATGTTCGAGCAATTAGGCGAAGTGGCTGCCTAATTTATGATCATATTGTTCTATCCGTTGCTGCGTCGTCAATGTTCTCTTCATATACCCCACCTGCGACGATATACTTACAAAAAGGATACAGGCCATTACTTACAAACGATTTTCTCGGCCTGGTGCCCACTTTTTATAGTAGTAATAGACAGTGCACATCATGCAGAACAATATTAAGAGTGTCTCTCACTTCCCTTCCTACGATCTGGCCTGGAACAGGTGCCTTCTCTTACGGCCTGGTTTCCACCGACTAGAGCCCGTTGCGGAGCACGCAGACGTTAATCCCAACTTGCAGAATGACTACCTGAGACCCTGGCTTCTTCTGGACTGGTTGCTCATCCCACATGTCGTCATTTCAATACAAGGAATCTTTCAGAGATGTTTTCACGATGCCGTTGACTTGATCAGTACTTAGTCTTAAGTAGTAAGTAGTTGGTTGTTGGTATATTATTGGCTATTGGTTTTAATTAGAGACATTACCGCCTCTTGAGGAAAGAGGAAGCCGAGCGCTATCCAATACACTACACGTCTCATTTACATAGCATCCTGGAACAACTGTCTATCTACACAATACCACTACTACCAACAACGATGCGGTATCTCGCAGCCTTGTGTTCATTGGTTGTCCGACCACGGGTACATACGCAGGTACAGAGTACACCTGGTCCAAACGGATATCTTCCTGCATAGACGTGGCAAGGTACCCCCGACAAGGCGACGCTACCTGACATGGTCAGGTGTCTATTGGTATTATATGCTACAATCGCGGAATCTTTCATCTGAATCTCATTGGTAGCGCCCCTCTTGTAATTCTTCGCGACTTGACCCATGTTTACAATATCTTTGATGTGTTCGGTGTTGGTAGCAGTGTAGCTCAGGCGCCAAAGATCCCACCATAGATATCTGCCGAGAATTGTCGGAGGATTTCGAACATCTATCCCCGCCCTACCGGGATTCTCTTCACCACTGATTGACTGGTCGTTAGCTTGACACGCAGATCCCATGATGAATGTGTTGGTTATCTGTTCAAGTGCGACACTCGTTGTTTGGTCCAATTTGGCCTCCTTTAATGATATCTGGCCCTTGCAGGCGATGCCGAGTCGTGTCAGCCTGTACCACGGCCTCTACGGAATCTAGTGTCTTCAAACTGCCAGGTCTTTATTCATCGGCGTTGCGATAGAGTAACCATCAACCTTGCCGTTTTCGCTCCACGCCAGTGATTATTGCCATCGCATATTCTTCGTCTGAGTTTGCTTGGTATTGATCAGAATTTCGCCAACAGACTGGTCGGGTTATGCTGCGGTGTTGTCGTGAGTTTCGGTGTTGCGCCCAACCAAACGGCATTGTTGTTGTCGCCCGGCTATTGTACAAGTCCTACCTGGCCAAGACTGTCATTAAACCTAGCGTCCAGCTAATTGGTTGTGGAGGGGATATCCCTATTTACATGGATTCCTTTGCGTTGAGGCACCTCAGGCACCAAACAGTAATACGAGAGAGCAGCCTATGAGACGAAGAAAGCAGGCGAGGATCTCCTGGATTGACACCACCAGCCTCTTTCCAAAGGTCCTTTCAGGCTTTCAGCCCCTCAGCCCCCGGGCCAAGTCTTCTTCCTGGTCATTGCGCCCGCAACCAAGGGGTTCTGGAGTCTGACGGACCCTTTTGCGATAGATTACTATTGGACCCCTGACTGAGACTGCACCGGTAGATACCATAGTGGTAATCATACCGTATGAGCGGTGACGGTGTCTACTAGTACTCCATACTGACCAACCAAAGCTAAATAACTACACTAACCACTCCAAATTCTCCGTATTAAGCCAGTGATGGATCCGCCCCATCCCATCCATGCTTATCGCCGCATAAAGTGAAAAGAGACACAGCGCGAAAAAAAAGTGAATCTCGTCCGATGGCGTCCTGGTCCAAAAGCTTGGCAACTGGAGACTCCAACCCCCAATGCGGCCAAGACCGACTCATTAGCACCGGTTAACACGGAGCTCACAACAAAAGGGAGAAGCGCGGTAGTTACTGGCTGCTGGTTTGCTTGCGCGGCTTGTATCCGCCGTTTACGTACTCAGTTGATGCTAAGTGCCTGCGAAGAAGCCTATCTATCGGATATGCCTATCACTTCAACCAATCTGATAGTAGTCATCGCTGCTTCTCCGCATTCTGGATGGGTGAACCGAGGAGGGGATCGGAGCGCTCAATTAAATTAGGTGGAGTGGGTGGTGCGGTGCCTTTCTGCATGTTCAACTGCTCGATAAACAATCACCAGAGTTATTTGGCGGCCTATAGTGGGGACAAGAAGCTTTTGGACCTTACATGATTGATCGTTCTTCCTGAGCCCAGTCCGGAGAGTTGGAACGTTCTTGAATGGACAAGTCTACGGGTGAAGCCCAGTCACTACGCCCAACTCGGTATCTCGACGACAGCTCACAACTTACTTCCACGCATCCGCCTCGCCCGTGTCTCCTCCTGTGGACTAATAGTATCCTCCCACCCGCCATATTGACATTCGACTATTGAATTCTTATATCGAACTAATCTCCCAACGCATCAGCTATTGACGTGTCCCCGTCCAAAATGTGGTACCAGAGACGATGATGTATTGGTGTGTTCTACCAATGATTCGCCGACTTGAGAGTCTCTTTCTTCCGATTAGTCACTTGACGTCGGGAATGCAGACGTCTATGGGATGCGCGCTGAACGGAGTAACAGCAAGCAACTAAAGCCGGAACTGTTTCAGGCACCGATGTCTTTGTCCTATCATTGTTCAGCTGTACCTGAGCCATCCCAAGTTCCGTTACTTTCTCCGCTATTCCACTAGATTTAATCCGTCGGAGACAGTTGGAGCAATTGTCTGGTTTCCGCCCCGTCCAGCCGAATTGAATAGTTAGCTCGGAGCAAAGAATATCGCTGCATCCTGTTCACCGGTCAGACGTCACGCACGGTGCCTAATTAATGAATATCGGCAGCCATCTGGAGAATCATTGACTCAAGAATGGGTTCGATACTTGCAACTACTACTACCCCTTAAGTGCAAATAGGGGTTTCCGAGCCTCTCCTGGACGGATGGCTCGGGCTGAGCGGTTGATACCCACAACGTTAGACTACATGCGAGGCTTGTTCGTTATCTTTTGAATGTCGCTGTGGAGTGGTTGGGACTGTCGACTGTTACTAACAATGAGCAGTTGGGCCAATAGTTGCATCCGTTGCGGGATTGGTCAGATTCAGACTAATGAGCATTCTCCAATCGCATGCTTGATTGACTCAATGCCCTGACGTCTCATGTCTTTATTAATGATGTGTCGGTGTCAGAGCTGGCTCTGTTGTTTCTTTATCCGCTGTTTACAGGTTATGAGTTTAGAAGCAAACAACATGCACACATCCCTGCGACAGCCTGACTGGCTCATTGCCTTGTCGCCTTAAATTCTAGGCCTCGATTGCACTATCTTGGCTGTACAGTTGCAACACAAAGCAACCACGAATGAACAAAGGCGGCCTTCAATACAAAGTCGTTACTATACAGCATGTGGGATTCTGGAACCCTTGGCAGTCCCACGATGTCCGCGTCCATGGGTACATGCAAGGGACTCTTGAACAACCCGCCTATCGCGGAACCTGTCCGGAACTTGGCCCGTGAGTAATTAGGTTTGCCATGCTGCTGGGTACTTGGTTGTCTTTCACAGGTGGCTTGGCGATTGTTCTAACGAGAGACATGAGGGTAGCCGAGTGAATAAAGAATCTCTTGTGCCGACTTGAGCAAGACTTTGATCGGACATCTTGACCATCGAGTCTAGCGAACAATGGCACAGCGTGAAATGAAGTCGACAAACAAGGCTTGATGACTCATATCCCTCGCCTTCGACCCCGTGCAGATCCTGTGTTATGATGCAATATGCAAGTCTTTATTTCCTCCGATGCAAGAGACGACTGTGCCTTGGAACGGATAATACCCGGAAACCTGCGGCCTGGAAGCGAGGCAGTTGTGGCAATACCAACCTCTTCATTGGCGTGGGGATTTGATCCGGAACGCGATTGCATGAGCAGCCCATGCTTGCAGAGGGACTATCGTGGTATGAAGGCAGATGCGAGGGCTGGATCGCAAAGTAAGTTTGAACCGGGGACGCACTGAAGTCAGTGGCAAGGCAAGGGAGAAGACCAGTACTTTTGCCGACTACAAGTCCCAGAAACTTTTCAGTCTGGAAGCGTGCAGCCTATCGGCTGTTCGAGATAATCACAGCCGAGCCAATTGCACTACTCTATACATTGTTCATGAAGCCACTGGTGGATTTGCCATGCAATTACAGCCTAAAGTCGACTTATAGCTGGTTATACCGTCTCCACTGTCCTTCACCGCACTCACAATTGTGACTGTTTTCTGCTTAGACATTACAAAGCGAATGACTGACCCAGCAGAGACAAGTATTGCAGCATTTGACTTCGATTGGTAGGCAAATCACTCCGTGTGAACATGATCTAGTCATAGCATTGTCTATCCCCACATAGCCTAGCTATCCAAAGGATACGCTCACTAAAGAGACAGAATCACCTTTGCACCACATTCTTGAATAATATCAGCATTCTTACTATGCAATACACAATGCATATTGCCGATGCCAACTAAACGAAGATTCCCTCTGCCCTTGTCGCGAAGTCGGTGCGCTCACCAAAGCTTCCAATCTGCTCCTTCTTTGTCGACTGTTGCATTGGATGTTCAATTACCTCTATGAATGAAGGGCACATTCGTTGAAGAAGTGACAGCCAAATTTTCATCATCCGTCTCTATGACGATCTGTGCAGTCGTTGTCAACAATTTTGTAGATCTCTCTGCACTCTTCAGGCTCGGCGGTGTCTGGAGCATTGTTGACCACCCCAAGGGATCAGAGAATGACGATAAGATAGATGAGATAGGGACTGTTGAGCTGAATGGCAAAGGACTTGCTACCCATTCAGTTGGTGCATCCAAACCTGCTCTAGTCGGCATTTCCCCTTAAAGCCGATATGGTCTGGTGTCAATGCCGAATGGTCAATCAGTGGGAAAATCTGCCTAACAGGCTATGCAATGTTATTAATTCATCTCTCTATGTTTTAAGATGATGAGAGAAGGCATGGGGGTTCTTTGGGATCAGTTGTCTTGTCGACTCAATGTGTAGACCGTCGATATTGAACCCTCGGCATTATTTCTCGATCGCCGAATGCCACTTCGTCAACTGGCGGAGTTGTATGACCATCTCCTCAAAAGTAATGAATCGTCTGAGAAGTAAATAGGGTACCTGGCCATCAATAAGACGTGCTTAATAGCCTATATCAGCCCCGGTTATATTGCCGTTGGTAGAGAGGATTGACATGTGAATGATTACTTCCCACTATAACTAGTCCCCTTCTACTACTTGGACTTCTACCATCGCCGAACCACCAACCACTGCATAAACCCTCAAACCCCGATCACAACATTCCATCTCAATAAATCCTATGGAAAAGTCACCCATGACGTAAAAGCACATTCCAAACCAACATCTCCATCTCCAACCGAGCATATCCGCGTCTGCATCGCACCGAGGCAGACGCTAAGCCGAAGACTCCGACGGATCGGCGACACAAGCTTGGCGGGAAATCCGACGATAACCTTAGTTCTGCTTCTTCTTCCTCTCCGCCTTCAAATGACTCCTCTCCCCTCTTGACCACCACCATCCTCCCCCTCACCCCCCAGATTAAGAGACAGATATATACACAGAATACAATACAATAAATCATGCTCCTTCCGCAGGCAAGACTCTCCGCCTTGCGCGCCCTCCGCGCCACAACAGCACCCCGCTCCAGCATCACCACCACCTCCGCGCTTGCCCGCCTTCTCTCCACCCTCGCCGTCCTCGAACAGCGCGATGGCAAGCTCCAGTCCTCCTCCTTGTCCGCTATCGCTGCGGCCCAGAAGTTCGGTGGTCCCGTGACGGCCTTTGTGGCGGGTGCTGGCGTGAAGGGTACTTCTGCTGCCGAGGCGGCGCAGATTAAGGGTCTGGACAAGGTGTTGGCGGTGGAGAATGAGGCTTATGAGAAGGTACTTCAATCGATTTTCTACCTTATTGGATAAAGTAAATGGGGAGGGTAAGCGCTGACAAGTTATGGTATAGGGCCTCCCCGAGAATTACGCCCCGTTGCTCGTCGAGAACATCAAGAAGGGAGAATTTACGCACGTCGTGGCTGGCCACTCGGCGTTCGGAAAGAGTCTTCTGCCTCGTGTTGCTGCTCTGTTGGATGTGCAACAGGTTTCGGATATCACGGGCATTGAGAGCGAAGATAGTATGTCTTCTTTACCTTTCCAATTCCGGGCGTGGGAATTTGCTCCGGTGTCGGAGGCACAACCATTCATATACAGCAGTATACTAACAACTCAACTAAACAGCCTTCGTCCGCCCCATCTACGCCGGTAACGCCATCCTGACCGTCCAATCCACCGACCCCATCAAGGTCCTCACCGTCCGCGGCACCTCCTTCCAAGGCGTCGAGACCACCGGCGGCAGCGCCTCCGTCACCGAGGGTGTCGACCCCAACACCCCCGCCCAAACCGAATGGGTGTCCGAGGAGCTCGCCAAGTCTGAGCGTCCGGACCTTGGTACCGCCAGCCGCGTCGTCTCCGGTGGCCGTGGTCTTAAGTCCAAGGAGGAGTTTGACCGCGTTATCGTTCCTCTGGCTGATACATTGGGTGCTGCCATTGGTGCTTCCCGTGCTGCTGTGGACAGTGGCTTCGCGGATAACAGTCTGCAGGTCGGACAGACGGGTAAGAACGTCGCACCGCAGTTGTACCTGTGTGCCGGTATCTCGGGTGCTATTCAGCACTTGGCGGGTATGAAGGATAGTAAGGTCATCGCTGCGATCAACAAGGACCCCGATGCGCCGATCTTCCAGGTTGCGGATGTTGGTCTGGTTGGGGATCTGTTTGAGAAGGTTCCTGAGTTGACGGAGAAGCTGAAGCAGTGATTAATTCATGTTCATGTTTGTGCTTTTGTATGATGTGGGTGGGAAGGTGAGGTGATAGATATACCAATGCCATTTATTATGTATTATGTTGTACGCCTGTTCAAGCATCGTCTGAACTTCATGGTAAGAACCCGAACTACAACACACTACGATCAGAACACCAGCACGTCTATACATAACTTTTATTCGACCAAGGGTATTGATTAAGCCCCGATGTATGAACAAGAAGAAAGAAACGAACACGCGCCGCCGGAGTAAAACACAAAAGAGACACCCATTGCTATTCAATACAGCCCGGACATAAACCCAGCAAAAGCAGTTTGTCAATCAAGAAGTCGACTTTCTCTTCTTCTTACCAGCACCAGTCGCCGCCGGCGGAACCGCCACCGCACCATCCTCCAACGCCTTAGCCTTCTGCTTCTGAAGCTTCTCCTTCCTAGCAGCCAGCGACAGCGTCTCCTCATCATCCTGACCAGCCTTAGCCTTAGCCTTCTTGGTCTTCTTCGGCGCCTCCTCAATCACCTTCTCCTCCTCAGCATCACCAATCTGCTTGCGCTTCTTACCCGCCTCAACAGCAGGAGTCTGCTCCTCCTCCTCAACAACATCCCCATCCTCAACCCACAACTCACTAGCCAACCAAATCGGCATAGCCATCGTATTAGCCCCCTTAATATGCAACGCCTTAATATTCCTCCACCCCTTAGTGACAAACTTCTCCGTCAACCCCTTCACAACAGCCTCTACATTCTCCGCCACCTGCTTAGCGGAGAACTTACTCGACCCAACACGAATCGCCGCCGTCGTAGCAGGCGCCAAATGCACCGGCGCACAGTTCAACGCCTTCTCAATCTCCTTAGCCACAATCGCCGGCGTCGCAAACGCACTCTCCTTATCCCCCTCACCCTCGACCTTCCTAGCATTCCGAACCTTGGGGTCCCTCTTCACCTTCTTCCCATCGACCTTCTCAATCTCCGCAATCCGCACCGGAATCGGCCTCTTACTACTCTTGTAGAAAACCTTGCCGAGCGTATTCACCAACCGCATGATAATCCGATCATCAGCCAGGAACACATCATGTTCAGCGAGCAGCTGTCTCCGGCTCTCGAAACTCTTGTACCGATCCTTCAGCTTCGAGTATCCGATTACCCGCTCGATGCGCGACGACAAGTGAGCAGGGAATGAGGGGTCCGTGACGATGTTCTTCACGCTGCGCTGGGGGTCCGCGGTGATGAGACAGATGCTGAGGGAGGGAGAGGCGTTCAGGCTGTGCGGAATCGGGATCTTGCCTGGCTTCAGACGGTTCTTGTCCACGATGTGCTTCTTCGTTGTCAGGACCAGCCAGATCGCTTCGTTGTGCAGAGCGCTGCCTTCTTCCGCGTCGCTGTCATCGTTGTCGCCGATAAGGGTCTTCTTCGTGGCCGTCTTTTCTTTCTCGTCTTGCTTGGTCGCGATGTGTTTGAGGAGAGCCGTGGAGGCGCGGGAGACCTGTTCGAACATGTTAGTATTATTATTATTTATAAATGTCTTGTGGATGTATGTAATGAGGAATATGATGATGATATGCAGTGCATGCATGATAATCGGTGAAAGGAGACATACCTGAGTCTTCTCCAACTGGTAGGGTGACCCCGAAGTCACCTTCGTCGTTAGCGCCGTCGAAGACACCATTGTTGCGATATGCTGGGAGGAGTTGGTGCAAGTGCAAATGTCGCGATGGGTCTCGATCTCGGGGATATTTTTCTATCATTAAAAAAAAATTCATGGGAAGGCGGTCTCTCGTTCTGCCGGCTTGGCGGCGTTGCTTAGTCATGACCATCATGGAAATCGGTCATGTGATCGATCGATATGGTAGTTATAAACTATCATTGTCTGTAACTATGAAATTATTCGAATGAATAAACGCTTTAATTCAATATAGAAGTAGTCTCTACCATATAAAGCATAAGCTACCGGATATCAAGTTATACACAATGCCAAATCGTAATCATTACCCACCCACCCACTCTGCGCACAATGCACCCTACAACTCCGCCAACAACTCGCCCATCGAAATCGGTTTTCTGACTGCATTCGAAAACCCATCATGGTACGTCACCCAGACGCGTCTGCCCGCCTTCAACGTCTCGTTCTGCTTCGCCGTCTCGGGCGACTCATCTGACGGCGGTGGTGTGGGCTCCTTGATGACTCTGCCGAAGAAGTCGCGTTTCACGTTCGGCCCGTGTGCGGTCTTCTTCGCATCGCCATCATCCTTGGATTGTCCATCGGCGGTCTTGCCGGAGGACTTTTTGCCGATATTGGATGTCGTTAGTGTTTCCGATTGCTTGCGGATGTTTTCTTTGCGGTATTCTTGGTCTAGGACTTGGCGGACCGCGTAGCGGACGGGGGCGGAGCCGCTGGCGGTGGGGGTGGATTTGGTTTTGGAGAATGTGATGAGGGTGTCGAGGGGCCTGTTGAAGGTGTTAGTACGAATTCTATAGGATTATAGGGAGAGGGAGGATGAGGAGCATACGGTTCCATCCGGTAGGCCCATCCTCCGTGGGCTCCGGCGTTCTCGATGCGCACTTTCTCGAATCGTACGCCTAGACCGGCCATCACGCGGACGGCGGCTTGGATGAGCGTGCGCTCGCTCTCTTTGCGCACGCTGGCTACGCTGCGCTGCTCGCCGCTGCCGCGGACCACGACTGGTTTCACGTCCGGGGAGAGCATTCGGACGAGGTTCGGGATGAGGTCGATAACGAGGGAGTCGGTGGATCGGAAGAGGCGGGATAAGGGGGCTGAGAATGCGGATTGGAATTCTGTGAGGATGGCTCGGTTCTGTTTCTGCGCTTCGTAGGCGGCAAAGTCTGCTCGGGGACCTGAAAATGGGTGTTCCTCTTCTTCGTCGTCGACTTCCCGGGGTTTGGCTTTGCCTTGAGCCGTAGCGAAAAGGTGGTGGAATGCTACGACAGATTGGCTGAGGTAGGCACTCAGCTCCCAGTCTTGTGCGGTGTAGACCTTGGAGGACATGGTGTCGTGGAAATGTAGCCAGTCGTAGGCTGCGTTGGGTTTGGAGAGAAAGGTGTCGTCTTGGTAGCTTTGCAGCGGGTATGATGCAAAGCACTCTGCCACGGCGCGGTCGTGCTCGCCGCTAGCATCGACCATTTCACGTAGTCGTTCGATGGCATGACGTTTCCGAAGGTCAGCGACACCTACTGGTACTTTGTCTTCGGAATTGGAGAAGGGATCGCGGAAGGAGTCGACGCCAACAGGTGCATCTGTGAAGCCGGCGCCTTCGGTGAAGACTCGCTCGATGAGATCGCGCACACCACCGCGGTTTAGGCCTTTGAAGAAGGCACTGCCGCTACTGTTGGCGCTGAGAACCTTTTGCTCCAGCCAGCTTCGTGTCAGTCGTAGAGTAGATGGACATTCGTTTCTTAGCTTATGCGCCACCCATTCTGCTGCAACGAGCACACTGCGGATGTCGCCCTCTGCTGTTCCGCTGCTCTTGACGCCTCCTTGTTTGCGCCGAGCAAGGCCCCAGGAGGCTTCACAGAGCCGTCGGACGCCATCATTGTCGGATGGAATGCCTTCGACGGTGAAAATCCGCTTCATGCGCGTGACGACATTCTCCAACGGCGCTTGGCGGACATGGATGATCTCCGCAACCGAGGCCGCACGTAGTGGTCGTAGACTAGGATGGTAGACATCGTTGCAGACCATGATCAGCGGCCGTAAGAATCGGAAGTTGTCGCCCTTCTTTTTCCTGCCTTTGGTCTGCTCAGTGGCGCCTGACGAATTCTTCTGGTCCAGCAGGACGAGATCGATCAAGGCTTTCATGAAACCACCCTCACCACCGCCTCCAGATCCGCTGACGACGCCGTCTACTTCGTCGACGACGACACAAACAGGCCGCCCTGCCTTGCGTACCTTTTCCTCACCAACTTCCACATTCATGCCCTTGACGTTCTCTGTGCCCAGGGAATCGCGAATCCTGCCTTTTACCACATCCTTGCTTCGATCATCACTTGCATTGATTTCTAGCACTTCGTAGCCAGCCTGACGAGCACATACATGTGCTAGCGTAGTCTTTCCTAGACCTGGCGGGCCACATAGTAGCAAGACCTTTCGATGCGTCCGTTCTTCTTCCTCTTTGCCGTTGAACGGCTTCTTTGCCTTTGCCCTAGCGATATTGGGAAAGACGATAGGTTCCCAAGCTTTCAGCCACCGCAGAACAGATCTATGTGTGCGTTCGTCTCCTATCAATTCCGTGAACTTTCGTGCGCGGTACTTCTCAGTCCACATGGCTGCAGCTAGCTTTGCGCTCTTCTGGTCGTGGATCGGGGCTTCAATAGACGGCTGTACCACTGGGGCAGGTCGTGTCTCGGCCGGGGGAGCCTCCGGCTCATTCGCTGCTTCATCGAGAAGCTTGTGGATATCGATACCGTAGTAGCTCTTTTGAGCCCTTCCGGGCGCTGTAACGGAGCGACCAGCAACAAGTCTTTCGTAGCTGACACGGGGTGCGGGTCTCTTCAATGAAACGTGATGTGTCTTGCCCGAGCAGGTTTTTATCTGTATTGATCGGTATGGCCTTCTCGAGGGAAGCGACGTGATTGTGCTCGGTTCCGGAACGGGAGTGGGATCAAGGTCTGGCGCAGTAGATGCTGGCTTCGGAGTCGATTCCGTTGGCAGTTGAGATGGCCTCGGGATTTCAGGTAGTTCAACAGGCGGCTGTTGAATAATGTCCTCCTGCACCTGAAACTCGCTCCTTAGTTGCGCATCGTTGAAAGCATCCCAGTCATCATCATCATCCGCTTCATCCAAGAACCCGCCCATAATCTTCTGCCGCTTGGGCTCTTCACTTTGCGATTGTTCTTCGTTCTTTCTCTTCTGCGACTCCGGCGACGGAGCGCTCGACGGGAAGGGAGCGGGGAATGCAATGAGGGGCATTTTGATAGTAGGTGGAGAAGATGGTAATAAGGCGAGTGTTCGAATAGGAGAGTAGATGTTCTTCCGCTTAGAAGTTCGTGTCGGAGTATCTGATTCCAATCAGTTGATATACTCAACACTCGGGATCGTCGAGTCTACCAGGCCTTATATCCTCGTCACTGCGGAAGACATCAGATAGGTTCCACGACCGGTGCTGAATAACTATTCCTTTGCGCGTATTATCTTCCCGTTGGAAGTTCAATGCCTCGAGCTCGTCGGAGAAGGTATCGGAGGGGGGTTCGGGAGGGTCTCCCTCGGAGTGAAGATGGATGGCCGGATCGAAGGAGGGAGGGATGGACGGGGGCGACGTCGTCATCAAAGCGAGTCTGCGATTATTTGAAATGATAGTGTGTACTATGGAGTGTCTACTCCGTCCCGAATCGATATTGTCGAGCGGGCTGATCGAAGCAATGATAGATTGATGGAGTTGATTTGCGACGCGTGCGACGCGCCGCGGACGCGCTAGTCCCGATTAATTAAGGGCCCTTAGTAGCCTAGTGGGTGTGCGGACCCTAGATCTATACAAATTGAATTAAATGAGAATCTAGATGATTGGAAGTGTCAATTATGGATTTGAATTAAATTAGGAATTAAAAGATAAAACAGCTGATTAGGTTTGTAATAAAACAAGCATCAATCTTTCCCAGTCGTATAACAAGAAGTCCATCAAAGCAGCTTTTACCCAACTCCGACGCCATCACCATAGCACAAAACCAGCAAACAATCAAAATCTATAGAAAGCGCATGCATATCCTCGTTATGGTTGATATCCTCCTTCCTTCTCATCCATGTTGTATGCCCAGCACCCAACTGCAGATATGCTATCATTTCAATGACAGGTATGTAGCGAGAGTCGTGTAGTTGGTGGACGGGGCACGGCTCTTTTCTTTGGCAGGCTTAGGCGAGGCAGACTTAGGTGGAGATGACTTGGTCTCCTCCTTCTTCTCTTTACTAGGTAGCCACTTCTTGCTCGTGGCTTTGAGGTCTTTCAAGGTTGATGCGGTGGAGGAGACGCTGTAGCTGGACGAAGCGTCGTCGAGGGCGGAGGTAGATTTGACTGATTCAGGCATGGCTTTGGATGTGCTTCTGAATTTCTTAGGAATGAAGAGGATGGTTCTGTCGGTGGTACTGTTCGACAGTCTGGGTGGATGTATAGTTCAGTTGGAGTAGTAGTGGTTGTATAAAGAGTCAAGTAGGACAGTAAATGATGAGTATGAGCAGTCACAAACGATCTAGAAGGTTCCTTGGTAGTTGAGATCTGAAGTATACGAAGCAAGGCTACCAGGCGGCTTCCACGGTCCTTATATACTGATGCATTCGTCCATTCCGTGATGATGGATTTAGTCCGAAGCCCACGGAGTAAAATTCACGACGACCCACCCTGACGTCTGAGGAAATGATCGAGGCTTAGCAATCGGACAACATCCTACATAGTCAGATGCTTAGTTTAGACTGCAACTTATCCTGGTGAATCATCAGCGCAAGTCATTGCTCGGTGTGGCCCACCCATGATGCGGTAGGCCGCATACCAAGGAGCGAAGGGCGTGTGGTTGGGTGTCAACACGAGGCGCTAACCCAGTGCGGTGGCCGCCATAGGGAACGCCGCTCTCTGACTCGAGAAGGAATGGAGGTCAAGATCTGCCTGATATTGTTGAGAGATGGGTGACGACGCCCTTTGACTTTGCATGAGAGTGGGATGTGGCCCGGAATACGGTCTAGGGCAATCGGTCGGGGTACTAAAACAGCATGGTCGGATTGGTCTCGATGTGGCTTTGGGGTAAATAAGCCTTAGTAGACGTTGTTAAGGCGCGCCGAGCCTGCGATGAGTCAATGCCTAAGGTTGTAAGTTACCGCGTGTGACCTAGACAGACAAAGCCACTGCCTTGAGCAGGCAGAATCTGACACATGCTCTATGATAGTCAAAATCATATTAGCTATGGCTAAAGTGAAGTCTAGAATGCTGCCTGAAGTCGAGGGCCGTAAGAGATGTTGCTATTCCGACTCCGATGCACGAGACTTCAACTCCGAAACTAGTTTTATTCCGAGCCAATGAGATCCCGAGCGCTAGCAAACACTGCAGAGAATTCTATCTACCTTTGGGGGTGACTCGATTAAATTAAATGGCCAATTGCTTAAGCCCCTTTTCGAGAATAAGTCGCTCAGTTTGTATAGAAAATTTATGATACTCCGCATGCAGACAAGCCGTGCCACGATGCTAGATCCCCATGATTCCTTGTGCTTACCGCCCTCGTCTATTGCCAATCTCTTCGAAGTCGCATCTTGGTCTGTTAAGATGACTTTGTGGATGAGAAGTTGGTTATTCTTCTACTTCCTTGTCACTTTTTTGTCTTCGTTTTCATATAGGCCTCCCTCAAGCGCTTACTATAGTACGATCGTCCACAGTCCCTTTGACCTTCCGACTGCTTTACTCCCCCCGAGCTGGAGGCCCTGAGGCAATAAGTGTGGGGAAAAAAACACGCTGATATCCTTTACTAAGCTGGATTCTCCTAGGAGTGCCTTCAGGAGAGCATACAGAAGCAGGGAGGTTCGCGTTAGAGAGTAGAGTTACTCCATCCTGATTGACTTTATATACTAGATCTGCTGCTGGACTGGCAGCATCATCAAGACGCGAACCTCCCTGCTTCTGTATGCTCTCCTGAAGGCACTCCTAGGAGAATCCAGCTTAGTAAAGGATATCAGCGTGTTTCTTTCCCATACTTACTGCCTCAGGGCCTCCAGCCGGACTGCACCAGCTGTCATATTTCAGCATACCTGGTTTTTTAGACAATATCCCATTGCTAAGTTGTATTGATTTGCATATAATTAAGCCTCGTTGGGACTCAATACCCTTTCTAGTCACTCGATCGGGACAATATATATTAGCAAATATATTCTGGTTCCCATTCCAAGATCATATAATAGACCACATGTTGAGGTAGACAGTATAAGTTCTTCTTCCATGTCTTAATAAAGATTTGTACTTCCTCGATATGACCTCTAAATGCGCAAAATTGGTTCTTGTAGCACTCGCGTGCCTATTGAGGCTAAGAATCTGTAACTAGAGCTGTTCCTCAACGACACCAACCGTCAAAGGCCCTATATCGGTGATCCCAATTTTTGAATTATTCGAAAGCCCGTTGTCTTGCTCTATTCGCTCGGATATGGCCTATGTAGCCATAGAAATACGAGGGGCAGGGGAATAACCGATAACTTCAACGCAATCTTACTTAGTCAGTACACATCCCATCGGATTTGAGATATTACCCTCTCCTAAATCCCAATATCCACGGAAGCTGTTTTGAAATCCAAAAACAGTTTCTTATTGTTAGGCTTCGCTGTCTGGTATTATTAATTTCATCGGTTTTTCCTGCTGTAAGAAGTATCTTAGAATCAGTAACCACTTGCTGTGCAAGGAAGGGTACTTAATGGTTGTTGTTATCTTGTCACTGACCGAGTGCGGACACTCTTTTCAATTCATGTATCATCTTGAAGTATGCCGGATAAATATTCGCTTGTTACTAGATGGTAAAGATGAGTGCTTAGATAACAGAAAGAGCGGTTTCCAGCTGCCTAATTTCTTTTATGCAGGGTAGAAAATCGAATAGGCTGTACCAGAAAAGTTGCTGACTGCGCGCAATAAAATTCATCTTGCAAGCCTGCTGGTCTGCTTCTTAAAATTCGCGATAGTTCAATGTGAACTCCTGCGTCGGTGCGTCTTTCATGTCAAATATCCTTCCAGAGTAACGGCCTCTCTATAGATGACCGTTCTGGGGTAGCTTTATGCTCTTCCGACGTCGAATCCCCTTTTTTGGTAAGATACCTCTACCTCGGCTTCCTCTTGTCCATAATATAATATAGTCCTCGAATAAAGTCATTTGTAACCATTTGACCTTTAATGGTCTGCTTTATCCTGCGATTATTGTGCTTTTCTTTAGCCGCGACAAACTTGCTATCCGTATGGCACTTTGCATCGTACATAGGTACAGATCGTTGTCGGATGGTATCTGGACTTCTCATTTATCGGGGCAATGCAAGTTGTCATACGCAGCCCGCCATTTTGAGACTAAACTGCTGCTGACATGATGCGGTAGCAACAACTCGCCTAATCATCGTAAGGTGGACCCTAATGTGGCCAGTAGACTGTCAAAAGCCATTCTTATATCATTTCAATACACCGTTATCCCAGTGGGCTGCATGCAAGAGGCCTTTCCGCAAGGACCACTGCGGTCTTTCGGGCGTATAAATGCCCATCCCCGTACTTTCGTGTCAATAATGTCCCCTGAGTATCCCCTAGTAGTAGGATATGCGCTCATATTGCGTTCAATCAAATGTCTCTTCTATACGTGGAACAGAATCAGTAATCTCTTCCCGCCTTTGGCTACAGACATGCGAGCGGGAAAGAGGTTGAAATAAAGGGCGGCTCAAAATGAGGCTCCGGCCAGGCTGTAACGGCTTGCTTTCCAGATTGGGAAAGACAGCCCTAAGAAACGTTCATTTGAAGGATACGGACGCCAGACCAGGCACCGGGCACTGGGGAGTGTTCTAGGACTCTGACATGTGTGGGATCGGAAGCTATATTTGAAGAGAGGCAAATTAGGAAGACGGTGGCGAAGGGCCGGAGAATGTAGCTACATAGCAGGCGAAGGGTCCGGTGAAGTGTCTATATACGTGGATATTCCCATCTGCAGTGCACAGAGCGCATAAACTGAGCAATAAGGATAAGAAGAAAGTCTCTGGGTGGTGTAGTCTTACTGAATGATCGAGGGCTGATTCACATAAAGATCTAAGTGCAGATGTAGATCTATACTAGGACCTGGCTCTCCAGAGTCAGTTCGACCAGGATATCGGTATATGAGTTCGGTCGGTCTTCACTTGGTTCATCCTGGGTATTTTCTGTCTGGGCGATAGTAATGAGGTCAAGTGTGGAATCATCAATGGCGCTCATAGGAACCACTAACTCCTTGAGGAACAAGACGCAAGCCTAGAAGAATCAAGAATAAAGCTCGTAACAGTCTATGAAGATAAAGGGATGATAGCTTATCAGAGTGCACATGTCACTTCAAATCTAGGAGGGTGAGTATACAAGGATAAGAAAGATGAAGCCATAGGAAGAGGCTACAAAGGCACAGGGTCGGGTGATATGTTTACCTGCGGTAGAACCTCAAGTATCGCAAGACATCATGATTCAATAATTCGCTGGGGCGTTTCATGATACGCTTCATGGAGAGTCATCTGTGAAGTGAGCGCTTAATTTGACAGAGCATAGTAACTTGAAGTCTTCGGAATACCGCATATTTAGGAGTAGTACTGTAGTAATAGTACCGGTTAGTAAAGATTGCTTAAGTAAAAGTGCTTAGTAATAGAATGCTTTGCAATGTCTTAACGTGAGATATTGATGACGATGAGGCTTCTCCAGACATCGACCGATACATTAGATAGTTGTGTGCATCGCTTGATTATGTAGAAGAAGGACAGAGGGGTGGTATGGTGTGGTGACTGGTGAGGCTCGGCTGGTAAAATCCGAATTCTGCCATCCCTCACCGCCATCATGAGCCTCACCTCAACCTCAACACCAAGTCTTGGCAAGCCCGCATCGGCAGATGGGTTGCAACGATGTCTTATTTCCAGCGCATTATCAAAGTAAATCGCGAAATAAACATATCTTACGATTCTGCAGGCACTGCTGCATCTGTCTATCAGGTTATTATTACTCGTAAAGCACAAGTTTGGTCATTAAGCGAATTTTGATTTCATACGACCGTAACCTCTATAAAAATCATCCAAACGAGCTATAACCTCGTGTTTAGAACTCCTCGTCGTCAGAAACCTCCTCCCCACGCTTCTTTCTAGCCATACGCTCCTTTCTCTTTTTGCGAAGCTCAGCAGAAGTGAGCTTCTTCTTCTTTTCAACAACGGTCTGTAAGCAAAGTTAGTATAAGACTCGAAAAGCTTCCAACGATCCGAGAAACGGGGATTTGAACTGACCTTGTTGCCCATGGCATCGACGACCTCCTCGGGACCATCCTTGGCCTCAAGACGGGGACCGGAACCTTGTCCCTGAACCCAGTTGTGACCGGAGGGAGTCATCTTACCGTCAACGACGGCCCAGACTTCCTCGGTGAGGTTCTCAGTGAACTCACGGGAGTGAGTGATGATGATGACACCACCCTCGAAGCTCTTCAGAGCCTTGGACAGAGCACCGAGAGAATCACGGTCCAGGTAGTTAGTAGGCTCGTCCAGAACGATGACATGAGGACGCTGCCAAGAGCAGGCGGCAAGGACGACCTTGACACGCTGACCACCGGACAGACCGCGCATGCGGGAGTGGGAGACCAGCTCAGCATCGAGACCGAACTGCTCGCAGTGGGCCTCAATCTCCTTACGGACCAGAGGACGGAACTGACCGCTGGCGAGAGCCTCCTTCTGATCGACCTCGGCAACCATCTTGGCGTGGGACTGCATGATCTCGTTACGGGGAATCCAGGCGTTGTCGGTGGTCATCATGGGAGTCCAGCGCTCGCTCTTCATGCCGATGTTCTCACCCAGCGAGAACGAACACTCGTATTCGTAGCTGTTCTTGAACTTACGACGAGCGTGGATACCAATGACACGACGGGGCTGGCCCTCGATCTTGTAGATCTTGTCCATGGCCTTCTCATCCTCGTCGGTGACGATCTTGTTGGCACGGTCCATGGTCTCACGGTCCTCACCGGTCTGGAAACGCCACTGGATGTACTCGGAGGGAGTGGAGTCGAGGTGGTTATCAATGTGAGCGAAAGCGTGCTGCTTGATGTAGGCGATACGGATGTTCTCGTGCTGGTAGACGTCACCGGAGGTGGGGATCAACTCACCGGTCAGGACGTTGACCAGGGTGGATTTACCAGCACCGTTGGGACCGATGACGGCAATACGAGAGCCCAGGGAGACCTGGAAGGAGATGTCGGTGAGCTGGGGCTTGGGGGTACCGGGGTACTGGAAGGACATGTTGTTGACACGGATGATGGCCTTGGCCTTGGTCTTGACACCCTCAAGGAAACCGGGCTCGGGGAACTTGAACTCGAGCTCGGAGGCACCCAGCTCGTAGTAGGAGCGAGCAGAGGGGACACGCTTGACGAACTCGCTCAGGTTACCACGGTAACGCTTGAGCTTGAAGCGCTCGTAGTGGACGACGTGCTGGATGACGTTGTCCAAGAACTTGCTGTCGTGGGAGACGATGATGGAAGTGCAGGGAGAGGTGCACAGGTAGTTCTCCAACCAGGCGACGTTCTTGACGTCCAAGTGGTTGGTAGGCTCATCGAGCAGCAGGATATCGGGGGACTCGAACACGGCACGGGCCAGAGCCAGCTTCATCTTCCATCCACCAGAGAGGGAGGTGATGGGACCCTCGAACTGCTCACGCAGGAAACCGAACTCCTCGAGCTTGGCCTCGACCTCCTCCTGGCTAGTCTGGACACCGACCTCGCGGAGCTTCTTGATGGTCCAGCCAATGACGGTCTGCTCAGTATCGGCGGCATCCAAGTCGTGCTCAACGTAGACGGTCTTGACCTCATCCTTCTTGGGGAAGCCCTCAAGCTGCTCGTTGTTGATGGCACGCATGAGAGTGGTCTTACCGGTACCGTTGGGGCCGAGCAGACCGTAACGCTGACCACGCTTGAGGCGGAGGCTGGTCTGGTTCAGCAGAATCTTGGCACCGTAAGCCAGGGAGAAAGTGCAGTTGCACAGATCCTCACCCTCCTCCTCGTCGGAGAGAACCTCATCCTCAGCAGCGGCACCGGGGGAGGCGCGCTTGCGGAGGGTCTCGACGATGGGCTTGGCCTCCTCGTCACCAACGATGGCAGCGATGTAGGGAAGGGCGTTCTGGGTCCAGCTGGTGACCTCGGCGTCCTTCTCGTCGACGAGCTGACCAGCGATGGCAGCAACGTAGGTGATGACGGACTCGGCCTTCTCAGCCTGGGCGGAGAACTTGGAAGAGAGGATCTCCTTGAGGATAGCGGAGACGGTGGAGATGTCACCAGCGGTGGAGATCTCGGGGATCTTGCCGTTCTTGACATCACCGACACGGCACAGGGTGTCCAGACCCTGCTTGGTCTTACCACGAGCCTCGGGGTCGGCCAGAGTCTCGTAGTTCTTCTCAAGACGGGGCATCAACTTGGGCAAGAAGGGAGCGACAATCTGGGGGTCCTCCACGAGCTTACACATGTTGTCAACGATGACAGCGGACTTACGCTTGATGGCAGTCTCACGCTCAACCAGACCACGGTCCAGCAGGGGGACCATGATGGCGAGGGTGGGTCCGGTGACATCGGAGACGAAAGTGGTAGCACCGAGCAAGTGAACGGTCTCGGGGACGTTCTCGGGCTTGGCGATACACTTGATGAGCTCGGGAATGAAACGCTCAATATCCTTGTTGACGATCAGACCGCAGACCTTCTCCATGGTAGCGTAGGCAGCCTTCTTGATGTCGGCCTTGGTGTCCCACATGGCCTCAGAGACAACGGGGATGAGCTCGGGGACACGGAAAGAGAGCTGAGCGGGGGCAGTCTCGACGAGAGCGTTGATGCACTCGAGAGCAGCCAGCTTCTCCTGCCACTTCTGGGCGTTGGCGAGGGACTCGAGGACGGGGGGAAGGACAGCCTTGACGGCGTTGCCGTTGACACCCTTCACGATGGCGAGGGCAGCACCCTGGGCGGCGTTCTTGACGGGAACCATCTTGTCACCGACGGCGGCAAGGACGGGGCCGAGGAGGGTGACGAGGTGAGGCTCAACACCAGGAGCGATGGTGGCGTGGGAGGCAATAGCACGGATACCCTCGCAGGCACGCTCACGGACAACAGCATCCTTCTTGTTGCTGAGCTGCTTCTGGAAGGTCTCGACAGCCCTGAAAATTTTTCATGTTAGCCATCCGCCACCGACCACATAGACGGCAGAGCGGGGTATTCTGCAGGTTATACATACTTGAGAGGGAGAGCCTGCTCGGGGATAGGGCCGCTGAACAGGTGGGCCAGGTTGTCGGCAGCAGCGTTCACCTCATCCTGGGAGGAAGAGATGTTGAGGTTCTTGATGAGGTCCTCAAGGACAGCGACAGACTGAGCAGTCTCCTTGCCGGAGACAGCAGGAACGGACGAAACATCAACAGCAGGCATTTTGATCGTGAAAGACGATGTCGTAACGTCGGAGAGAGAAAAAAGGAAGAAGAAAAAGGAGGAGAAAAGAAGCGAGAACGGGTGGAAAGCGTTCTATTAGGGTATCTCGATAAGAGGTGGCGGGCCCACGAAACCGCGTCTGGAAATTTTCACAGCACGCAGCAAACGCTCTAACACGGCCGCACAGGCAAAATCTATTTTTTTGTCCGAGAAACGACAAAAAACAAAACAAATTTTTAAGATAGAGGAGCAAACCTCTTAGAAGAGAGAGATGAAGGATGGGGAGAAAAAGGGAGGGAGGAGGGGGGGGAAGCGAAGGTGGGTGGAGGAAAGTGATATTTATCGCTTTGTGGCCTGCGTTTCGCCGCCCAACTTTTTTCAGTCCCGCCGCCAGTCCCAGAAAATCTCTTTTAATGAAAAAATTTTCGCTGTTCCTTAGAATTTGTCCCGCACTAACTTCGTTTCCGGTGTAGCGGCGATGGGCTGTCGAAGCAACCAACCGTGGCTCGTGAATGACTCTATCTGCAGCCGCTGATTGGCTGGACTTTCGTTTTCGCTGAGTCAGCCGCGTTGAACCCTCAGCCAAGGTTGCCCTGGTTGCTGCTCAACCATCAGGTTCGCTCCATCCTCACGGTCTGCCCGCTGCCATCATGGATCTTTGAAGGTTATTCCTGGCCATCGCCTTCCTGCCGTTCGTTCCGACTCTTTTCCGTGCGGGAATCAGCGGAGATGGAGCAGTGGGAGCGGATATCTTGGGAAATCATGATAGCCTTCCCCGATTGTGATTATTTTTACATACTTTCTGCTACTTTGTAACATATGGGATGGGCTGCCAGCCAATCCCCTTTCAGATCATCGAGCCATTTGCAAGCATCATCAAGTTGCCCCTTTCTTTGACAGGGCTGAGAGGGTCTTGAGCACAGCCGGTTTCTGTACCACCCTTTCTCCCCCTTATTGTTACTTCTGAGGATACTTGGAACGTCGCAGAATCCTCCCTACCGTTGTCCATCCCAAGTCTGGGGAAATTATTGTCAGGCTTTCATCGCTTATGGCGGAACGAACATCTTCACATGTGTATGCCAGCGTAGCAATGCTGTGAGGACAGTTCAGTACTTACTCTTCAGACTAGCCAGTCATCAATAGCCATTAGTTATTCATACCTTGAGCCGGTCTAGGCTGACGGGCGAGAACGGAGAACGATCTGGCTCCGGGCCATGGCTCTTGGTAACTCTAACTTAGTAGAGTTTTCGTTATTATGATTTTTGATTTTACCCCCTTCTGTTATCCCTTTTCTGAAGTCTTTCTGCCTCGAAGGGGGGCTGCGCCACTTCACCCCGGGAATGATCAGAGGTGGCGACCGGCATGAAAGCAGCAGCATCTGCAGGGCCAACCAAGCCATGATGACACGGAGGGGCGGAGACTAGCCGGCCGCAGTAGATTATTATCAGTCTATCTATCAGGATGTTGCACCCCGGATTAATGGCGTGTCAAGGACATTATCAAGGTATGTGCCAGCATGCAGCGCCATCATGATTTGAATGATGGTTTGTCGATGCATTTTGTGGTAAGATGCAGGCAGGCCTGGGAAAATCCTGCCCGAAGCATAACCATGTTGTTAAGAAAAGGAGCATTATACTTTTGCGCCCGGAGATTGTTCCCCACAGAGTCATGGATGCCTTATTATTGCCAAACACAAAGGGATAGGCGACTAAACACTCTCAGGCATAATTCCGGGGTTTAAGCGTCGCAAACACACGTCTGAAACAATGGCTCATTGCAGGAGTCGATGCATCACCGCCATTTGTCTGACTCAGGCTTTTCTCACCGCATTCAAATATAACTGGCTTTAATCACTTTTCTTTACGTTATGTTGCCGATTGGCGTGTTGAGACCAAGTAACTTTACAGCCCTTCTTCAAAGTGATATCCAGGCCTGCCGCCTCAGCCAACCCGAGAACCGTGCCTTATGATGTGCACCGTCAGTCTTCAGAATATTGGGGCCCCCCTCTTATCGCTCTTATCGGCTATCGAATTTTGAGTTCAATTTTCTCCGGATCTCCTTCCATTCCTTATCCCCCGCGAAAATATCCAAATTTGCAGTGGCAACCTGCAACCAACCACACTATTGCCACAACAATGGTGGAAGTAGAAACCTTCTTAGAACTCGTGAGCGCTATTCGCCCATGATGGTGGGTCGACACGTTGTTTTCCTACCGACACCTCGGAGTCTCTAAAGTGCACATCCAATACTCTTCTCCTCTCTTCGCGAGATGGCAAAGTACCCTTAAAAGTATCTATTTGGCAGATACAAATTGTCTCTCTACCTTCACTAACCATCATGGTTATCTCATGATGAGTCATTAGTAACCATTACTATCCCTTTTGGGTGTTGCCCCGGGTGCTAACCTTCAGCGCCCTTGGTACAGCAAATTACTACTTACTATATTCTGGACCTCAATCTAAACCTGCTATCAGACAATCGCGTCGCGTCTGTCTTACCACAATTCTGTCTCTTGAATATCCAACAGTTCCAATCCACGACATCATGGAGTAATATACAAAGTAATAGTTCGCTCTCGCTTCGGCTCATTCACATCTAACCATGGAAGAGTCAAGAGGCGGAGCACTATAAGTAAAGAGAGCCACACAGATATATCAATCTGTTGTCACAAGTTGTCCTTAATCTACATCAATTTCAGGCTCCTGATAAATTTAACCCGTGTTAGCTGCTTGCGACGTAGCGTGCGTGATTCCCGCCTCAGAACTGCGTCAGGAATGTTGACGATGCGCAAGAACTATACTTACACAAGTCCGGCCTTTGACCGACTCATGCCGTCCCATGCTGTCATGGCTTGAATTTATCTACGTGATACAATTAGGGCATGGCGAGGACACATGACGACATTGCTCGATATGTCGTGATCTGGTACTAATATACCATAAATCCCGAGTACAACTGACGAAACCCGTTTATTGTAGTTAGTCATCGCACTTGATGAAGACAATCGTACGGTCGCAGTATCACACGTTATTTCGCTGAGGATACATGTCTACTTAGATACGAGGAAATATCAAGAGATCGAGACATTTGCTGACTGAATGATATGGGTTGTTCGATCGATTCGTGTGGTGGTATCATGAGAACTGCTCAGGACAAGATTGGAATAAGTAGCCAAAATTAAAAGGCTTACATATGAACAGCATCATTGGTCTAGTGGTAGAATTCATCGTTGCCATCGATGAGGCCCGTGTTCGATTCACGGATGATGCACTCGAATTTTGTTTTTTTTCTTTCTATATTTGCTCCCGCCGACTGACCGCTGCGCCGATGTCATGATGGTGTAGCTTTTTCCTTCATTGTTACAATAGAGCGTATGAGACAATACTACATACTGACCTTTCTATCAGTACATGTCAAGGCGAACGGGAAAATGCATTCGATCTATCTGGTCTCAAGAGTTTGGGTTGGACAGTAGGTATCCTCCCGAATTCTTCATATCACTCATTCTATCTCGCACAAATCCAGAGGATACCTGCCTTGTTTGTGTATAGGCCGTAAAGGTCTGTGTCACCAAGCAACGTGAGTCTTAGTAAGACCGGCAAGTGCAATGGTAAATGGGACAAAGAGGCAACCACATGACTACCTAGCCTCTCCCTCCTAGCATCGTCAATTTTGTGTGCCTCAATAGATCATAATGTAATACTAGCTGCATCACTTCTAAGTCCTTTGGTCGACAGCATCGATATCCATACTACCCATTATGTCGGATTCATTCCGCCAGTATTATTACGACCAGTACGATGACCCACAGAACTGCTATGGCCAGCAAGCTGCTGGATATAGTCACGGAGATACTCCTGGCAATTATTCTTCAACGCAATATCAGCAAGGACAGCGTTCGCAGTACGCATACAATCAGGCTCTTGTATGTCTATCTAATATTACCAATCCCGTATGCGCATGCCTCATGGGTCGTAAATAATCCATGGAGATAGCAGCAAGCTAATTTGTTAGCCTACCAATAACCATTATGTGAATCCATCCCCAGGCAGCCATCCTGCACAAGATCAGCAAAGCTATGCACCTTCCTACGACGCAAGGCAACCAGATGGACATCGGCATGAGCAACCCACGTCCATGAGATGCGAGCAAAGCTCATCTTATCTACCACAGACTCAGCATCGGCAAGGCCAGAATGTGTCTTACTATCAGACGCAGTCAGAGCCTGTCCCTACTACAGACACATCCGAAGGTGAAAAGGGGTTTATCTCGCATGAAGCCGGCGTCATCGGCAGGGGCGCTCTAAGTCACAAGCTGGGAGATGGGATGCTGGGTGTTGCAGGAGGTGCATTGGCAGGCGCTGCAGGCATGAACATCGCAAGTAAACTGTAAGACTGCCTATGATGATGACTGGCATACGTACGCTGACATGTGTTTTCCTCAGACGCAAGAGGCATAAGAAGAAACACCATGGCAAGAGTTCCCGTCGTTCAAGCTTCAATTCCAGCTCAAGCTCCAGTTCCAGCTCAAGCTCCAGTTCTAGCTCAAGCTCGAGTTCAAGTTCCTCTAGTGATAGCCATTAGTTTGCGTGTGGCTCGCACCTTTATCCTTCTCTGTTCGGGTTTTATTGAATGCGCCTTGGGGTGTTCGTTATTAGTTTCCAACTCAATTCGCTACTCCCGTGTCGACTGTATGTCTCGTATCGATTACTGTATTAATGACCGACGCCTGTAGTGACAACCCCTCTTCTATTCACCTTGTGTGAAGCGTGACCAGACCCTTTTGGGACATCAGGGTATAGGGCCCACAATCTTCTATATATTTCTCCCTCGTCTTCTTCTTCTCTTTCCTTCTCTTCTCCTCTTCGTTATCTACAACCTCTCTCCCTCCCCATATCAATATACGTAGTAAGTTATCTCATGATGGACTCTGGTGATGAGCGAGAAGAGTGTTGATCTTCTGTTCTTCTCTCAAGACAATTACATACATTACTGACTATTCGCCAAAGACATTCCCGAGCCACCGCCGCTGCTCCCACACCTCGCGGGCCCACTCGGGCACAGCTCGAGCGGTCTAAGGTAAGTTCTCTATATTAGAAGATGTCTGATTAAGATTGATCTGATAACATACTGTTATGTCATTGATAAAAGTTGATACTAACTAAGTTTATAAATCATAGATGCCCTCGAAGATGCCGGAGTTGAGGTCCCGGAGGGGTAAACTCCCTCCGGGACCTCACCGAAGGCCAGAAGCTGCGGAAGAAAGAGCTGAGAGAAGAGATAGCACGACTGAAAGAACTTGAGCGAGAATATCATGAAGATTACATTAATGCACTTGAAGATGCCGGCATCGTTGTGCCGGAGGGGGTTCTGCCCCCGACAAGGGTGCTCACCGAAGCCCAGAGGCTGAGGAAGAGAGAGCTCCGGCGCGAGCTGGAGCGTCTCAAGGCACTGGAACAGGAGTACCGGGAGGATTACAATGTGAAGAAGGACGAGTGGTCTACCTCCCGGAAAGAGCTAGAGGATCAACTTTCAGCGCTGGACCAGGCATACTTAACCCCATTATCGATGCCCTCGAGGATGCTGGTGTAGTTATCCCAGAGGGGGTTTTAACCCCCCACAAGAGATCTCACCGAAGGGCAAAAGTTGCGGAAAAAAGAAGTGAGAGAAGAAATTACGCGACTGAAAGGACTAGAGCAAGAACATAATGAAGCTCTTCGAGTCAAAACTGAACAATGGGACTGCCTTTGCCCCCCCATATCAAGATACGTAGTAAGTTATCTCATGATGGACTCTGACTCTGGTGATGAGCGAGAAGAGTGTTGATCTTTTGTTCTTCTCTCTAGACAACTACGGAAAGGTGAGAATGAGTCTAAGCAGCTCAGGTGATGCAATATATCTGATGATACTCTGTGCGTCTAGCTCCCCCGCGTCGTAGTGTCCGTCGTCCTGATGCCACTGCTGCTACTGCAGCTGCTACATCTCGTCGAGGTGCTCGTCGTCCTCTCCCCACCGCCGCCACCGCCGCTGCTCCCCCTCATCGCGGGCCCACTCAGGTTCAATTAGAACGCTCAAAAGTAAGTTTTCTATATTTGAAGATTTGGTGTATCTATGTGGCACTGTACTGGGTTCTATGATATCATACTGTTCTGTCATTAATAAATATTGAAACTAACTAAGTTTATAGATTATAGATGCTCTGGAAGATGCCGGGATTGAGGTCCCGGAGGGGGTTCTACCCCCCACCCGGGAGCTTACTGAAAGCCAAAAGTTAAGAAAGAAGGAGTTGAGAGAAGAGATAGCACGACTCAAGGAAAGAGAACGTGAACACAATGAAGCTCTCCGTGTGAAGACCGAGCAATGGGACACTGCCCGCAAAGGGCTAGTGGATGCTGTAGAACGCCATGACTCTGAACGCGCCGAGTCGTTTGCGCCCGACTACCAGTTGTCCAAAGAGTTGGACGAGCAGATCAAGTCCGCTGTCGCGGAAATCAAAGGTCTCGAGCACAACATCTTCTTCACCCGTTTTACTGCATGTATTTAGATCATCTTCGTTATCAGACACTTACAAACAACAAGACGCTTCTGCACGTTTCCAGGCAGCTGTCAGCTGATCCTTCGCCTCTTCTTCCTGCGTGGTCTCCGACGATCACCTCTTCCAACCAACCAACCAACCACCCAGCCCCTTGAGATCTAGATAGATCAAATCCATCTATCTTTGACCCTTTGTCTTGACTATTGATTTGTCTGCAAGTTCTTGAAGAGGATGTAGGCGCCTTCGATGTAGCTAGAGAAATGTTCCCTCATATTCTTATCGAGCAATGTGCCGTCATCGTTCGATGGCAATTGTAAATCAAATGTCATTGTTATACGGGCAACAGTTGTCCTCATGTTCATGAGTGCTAGCGGTTTGCCGATGCATGCGTAGGGGCCTTGAAATAGTCAAATTCGCAATTACAGGCGTGGTTAGAATAAGCAGACACGTTACTGCCACACCGGCCAGATTTCCTCCACACCGGCCTTCGCTCATGCCACACCCTCTGCCTATCTTATAAAATAAGATCCCATCCATTTAAGGCAAGGCTTGGGCTCTAGAACAGGCGGAATCCTATCACCTGCTACTCTTAGGACTTTTGTTCCTGAGGCATGGATTCAGCATCTTAGGTATTGAAATTTACCCATGTTGGAAAAGCAGTAAAACAAATCAGAGAGGCCACATTTTAAATGAATGGGACCTTACCTTACAAGATAGGCGGAGGGTGTGGCATGAGCGAAGGCTGGTGTGGAGGAAGCCTGGCCGGTGTGGCGGTAGCGCCTCCCTCAGAATATTGGCAAATCCAGCAACTGAAAGATATAACCCACCGAGTAAAAAAGGAGCATAGGCAGATCCATATTTCATCGCCTCAGGGTATCTGTACCACCTCTCAGGGAGGAGCCGATTTGCATTCTCGTAGAAGGCATTGGCTAGAAAGGTGAGCATTTGCTTTTGTCAGACTGAGGGATTATATAGTCCACTTACATCTTCCAATAACCCATTGCGGGCAAGAAACTGTCATGTTTCCTGGTATGTAGGTGTCACCGATCATGATGCCCTCCGGTGGTGTCTTTCTAGGAATAATGCTTCCAATTGGAGGATGTAGACGGAGCACCTCGTTGATAAACCCATTGAGATGTCTCAAGCCCGCGATTTTCTCGTGCATATACTCCCCGCTAGGCTCGACAGCACATAGACTTAGCTCCTCGCGGATCATCTTCACGTGTACTGGGTGTTTAGCCAGCTCGTAGATAATGGTGATTAGAGCTGCTGCGGTAGTGTCACTATCGTTCACTTGTGAGTCTGCCTTGCTAGAAAGAATAGCTTCGAAGAGGTGCATACCTCCCTGCTGCAATTATCAATTCAACATCCCCAAGCAACTGATAGAATTCTTTAGTTGTAGGTACTCGTCCTTGCAACTCCACGAGCAGCGACGAGCTGATATCGGGTATATCGGGCGTTTCCTAAAAGCATAAGCGATTTAACCGAGCATAAAACAGCGGAAAAAGCCTCAAAGACAATACCCTCATTCTCGTCTTCAAGCGCTGATGGCTAAACTCCTCATATCGCAAAGCATCCTTGTTCATCCCCGGTATGGAGCCCAGCAGCCGAAGGGCCCAGATAGGCACGGAGTATTCCAACGGTTTGAGCATATCATTCAATATCTGTATTGCCCAGTGGTTGGCACTAGCATCTAACATGCCGAAAGTTTTACCGAAAGCTAAGTCGCCCATCACATCGTAGCTGTACCATGTGAGATAATTGCTGATGTTAATAGCTTGACCATCGCCGGCTGATGTTAAGAGCTTGATCAGCTTTTCTCGGTAGACTTGAATGCGTTTTTCGTATGCTCGAAGTGATTTATCGCTGAAGCCTAGACTCCATACTCTCCGTCGTTGGTCATGAGCTTCCCTGTTTCGATGTGCATGTAGCGATTGCACTGGTGCACCGAGGTCATAGAAGGGCGCTTTAGTACAGGAGGACTTAAATCCATAGATGATATTTACGGCATCGGGGTGGATTATGGAGAGATCAGATGGGCCTATGCGCACAAATGGTCCGTACTTCTTATGCAACTCTTCGAGGACCTGGTAGAGGGGTTGGTGAAGAAGCTTTGCTGGTAGCCAGAACCCAGATAGACGTGCACCTAGGGGGCCGGGAAACTGTCCTAACGGATGAAGAAACGTCCTGTAAATGATGAGGCTGCAGTATAGGCCCAGCAGATGTGTAGATATTAGGCTCAGAGATGCGGTGCTTGCTCGAGTAAATGAGATTTTTTGTGCATATTGAATCGTTGCAGCAACTAGTATCGACAAGCCACCATATGTGTAGAGATACCGAATCGGATAGAGATGGTGTTCGCCAGAGCGAAAGTAGAGGCTGTGAGCTAGCACGCCTAGAGTGAATGCTCCAGCTTGTAGTTGTAGTCCATTTTCCATAATCATGACCACAGGCTTGAAGCCAAACTTGTGACGAGAAGGGCGTTAGTGATATCAGGAATTGCTAGAGAGCGACGTTTAATCTAACAAGGACTTACAACAGTGAAGTTGTATCGATGCTGCCTAGTGTTCATGATGAGTTCAGTCGGTGGTACAATCAATGCCAATCTTATGTCGGCTTACCCAAATTCTTGAATGGTCTTTTCAAGTGTGCGGCAATATTGTCCATCTGCTCTCACAGTCGCATGAAGCGGAGAAACCCGAGCAGGACATGTATGGGCCCTGAATCTGGGACCCCTTTTTCGCAGTTGTTCTATCGTTTCCTGCAATCCTGGCGTGATTTAAGCAGGCTAGTACCCATCCTTGACATCGCCTGAACTGGTACTATGCTTGTGACATGTAGCCGGTTGAGCTTTCCAATCGCCAGTTATTTAAGGTCATACGATGTACCTGGTAGATGCCACATCTGTCCATCTTTGTGCATTGTTGTGGACCCATTTTCACGCCAGCCCCCTCTCTCCTTAATTCAAGGGAACTAAATTAGTCCCTGAAATTTTCTTCTCCAAAATAAACAGTAAAGGGATCCATTCTGCACCTACCGAAGAGTATCTCTATGGCCCAAAATCAGGTCTTTTCAAGCACCCCCGTATTTTCTTGAAACGTCATTAACTCTAAACCAGAGTCTCTCAGCGCCAATGCGCTCCATAAACTTCAGGCGGCAACACCGGAGTTCGGAAATTTACTACCTGCAGCGGAGTGTTAAGGTTTTCGAAGAGCGTTGCATATCTGAATGGTTACACAAGTATCGGCTTTGTGCCCGCCTTGTTGTGGCTTTCTGTTTAGAATGCATATATGCCCGCAGGACAGACAAGTGCGACATTCCTCAACCTCGTTCGGGGTGGGAACGGTAAAATCCTTGATCATACTGCCTTTTGTATAAGGGCAATACACTGACTTCTTGGACCAACAGATCTGCGAGCATCATCTACCTCGAGAGATAAATTAAACCAAAATGGCCTCACCTTTCCTGAGGGACGAAGTCTCATCTCATCCAAGAGGTGTGGAGGCATCACCACCTGACGATTTGCCTGAGAATCAGAAGGCGAACGCTGGCACCGACTCCCAGACAACCCCAAAACCATGGGATACCATCGTGAAATACCAAACCTCAACCAATGGTGCCGAATCGTCCTGGTGGCGGAACATTGGCCCACTCCTTGGTCGGCTGCTGCAACTAACAGGCTACTCTGTGCCTATGCAATTCGAATATCTACTCTTCGCGCGGAATCACATTGTCCCCGCTCTCGGACCGTATCCGCAGCGCTGGCCAAGCGTTATGACCTATACCGACCTGCCGATTGAGATGAGCGTTAATTTCCAGGATCACCATGCATCGACCGTTCGTGTGGGCATTGAGCCGATCTGTGAGTTTGCGGGAACATCTCGTGATCGGTTCAATCAGACTGCTACGGAGCGGTTGGTTGGTCGACTGTCTACATTGGGAGGACTCGACCGCATGCTGTACCATCATTTCGTTAGGGATTTTGGAATCAGTGAGACGGAAACGTTGAAGGTGAAACAAGGGGAGTTTGAGAGGGACTCAGTGCAGTCGACGTATAATATAGGGTTCACCTTTGAGAGGGTTGGGGCAGCTAGTGTGGATACGAAGGGGTATGCTTTTCTCAGGCTGAAGGAGAAGGCGTCTGGCGTGCCTATGCAACGATTACTCCGTGAATCATTGAACCAGCTAAATGTGACGGCAGAGAGAAGAGACAGTGAGGCAGTTCAGAAGGTGATTGAGTACATGGAAGAAGGCGGGGGATTCAATGAGTACACATACCTGGCTTGGGACTTTGTCGATTCGGCCAAGTCCCGAATCAAGGTTTATGGGGTACTTGGAGATCTAAGGATGGAAAAAGTAAAGGAGGTATGGACCATGGGTGGAAGGCTGAAGGATTCGGCTACGATGCAGGGCCTGGAGTTGGTCCGACGGCTATGGGGATTTCTGGAGGGCAACGGTCAACAAGGACAACATCCTTCTAAGGCGCCAATACTGATGTGGAACTATGAGATCCGACCGGGCCGCGACGAGCCCATCCCGAAGCTGTACCTCCCACTTCTTGGGAGGAACGACATGTTCGTGGCCAAGACGCTGGCGCGCTTCTTTGACTCGCTCGGATGGGCGGACGAGGCTCGGAGCTATGTGGCTAACGTGCAGTATCTGTTGTGAGTTCTGCCCTTTCCCGATCACAGTTATTCCGACTGACATTGATGACAGTCCGGATGAAGACCTCGAGCAGTCTGCCCGGCTTCACTCGTGGGTGTCGCTAGCGTATACCAGCCAGGCGGGGGTCTATGTGAGTGTGTACTATCACTCCAGCCTGGCCTAGAATCAAGTCTTGGAATCGTCATCATGAGCATCGCACAAGGGTATTACTATGAACTGAACTGTTGCATAAAAAAGGTCGTACGCGTAAGTAACCATTTGGCGGACATCTAGGCGTTCTGTGCGACCACCACACCGGTGAGTCAAAGCAGGTTAATAATCGAAAGAAACCCCAGAGAGGGATATAGACTACTTCCTAAGTAAGACGGTGGCCAATTTCTTTTCCACTCAGCGGGGATTGGCTGCCGTCCGGCTATTGTGCGGCACCAGCTGACCAGAGCCGAGATGGGGACTAATTCACCCCATGGCACCCCCGCGGAGCTGAGAAGCGATGGATAAGACAGGTAGCAAGGGAGGGAAGGAAAGAAAAAACAGTGTAATCCGGCCAACGAGGGAGGGGCGCTCGGGCAAAATCCGCGCGCAGAAGGATTCTTGGGATGGAACGAACTGGGTCTCGTGTCCGGGCCGAGAACCGTTGATTCGTTGGGAGAGAAACCTGGCGAGCAAGTTGGTGGCTGACGGGATGCCAGTGGGAGAGTGAAAAGTTTACTAGGCGAGTTGGTAGTCTGGGACTAGATAGAACTAGATAGAACTAAGGGTAAGGATAGCTCGGGGTTTTACCCCGCGATGGAGCCACGCACGGCCGGGGGGTGAGGGTTTTAAATTGTTCGCTTACCCCGGCAGCCATTGGCGGTCTGGAATTTATTTAGAGTTGATAGGACCCTGTGCAGCCGTTAATTGCGGCGTAAAAAACAGGAGACAGAACAGAGAGTACGATGGAGACTTTTTCATAGATGGAAGCCCAGATCTGGGGAGGAAACAAGAAGAGGGAGAAAGAGACAAGCCGCGACAAGGCGGGCTTGGCTGGTGGAGTTGGAGCTGGAGAGCCGCTTGGCAGTAAATCTGGGGAAATCTTGGCGGGGGAAACACACACAGGGAGAGAGAGTTTTTACATTCTTTCACAAAAAGAAATAAAGGCAGTAGGCTCTCAGATCACTCGATTACATCAGATGAGCAATTGACATGGCCAACGATGTGTCAAAAATAAATAAAGTGCTCATACAAACAAAGACAGAGGAACAACAAGCAGTGCTAGAGCGTGATGATGGCATCCGGCCTGACTAAGGAAATCCCCCGGTCATTTACGATTTGCCCAGAAACTCTGGTTGAGGGGCGGCGTTAAGCTTTCCAACCTCTCTCGTTGCTTTCTGTTCCTCTCTAGCTTTCCAAAGCTTCCCCAGATGACTTGATGGGACCCATCTGTTCCGGAAGATGCATCTTCCTCCTGCTCGTCATGGGAGGGATCGGCACCTGTCCGGCCATGCTCACCGTCGTCGGCTTTCTGTTCCAATTTCACGGCCTTCGTCCTTCTGCCCGATAATCGGGGCATAAAAGCCTGCTCCCCGCCAGCTGATGGCTCGTTCGTTTCTTTTTTCTCCGACCAGGCCATCCATTTCTCTTCCTCATTTCCCCAACCGCGCAGCGCTTGTAGACGCGCTCTCGCCGTGGTTCTTTTACTCCCTTCTTCCATCATGTCCCACTACTACGAAGGGGACAAACCCTCTACCGGGGTGCCCGTTCCCGTCCAGCTATCAGCTGCTGACGAGGATGAGCAGTCCACGATGAGTCCCATCAAGTACATGGCCACTCGTCTTACAACCTTGGTGCCTCCTATGAACCCAGCCCCCAATCCCTTCAAGGCGCTCATGCTCCTCAATCGGAAGCAATGGCTCTTTTTTGGGGTATGTTTCATCCCAAACCTCAGACACCGGACCCTTTTCTTGCGCCATGGCTAACCGCGGCTCTAGGTTGCTTTTGCCGGCTGGACTTGGGATGCTTTCGATTTCTTCACCGTGTCCTTGACTGCCACCGATCTTGCAAAGACCTTCGACAAGTCTGTCACCGACATCACCTGGGGCATCACCTTGGTGCTGATGCTCCGCTCCGTGGGCGCCATTACATTTGGAGTCGCTGCCGATCGCTGGGGTCGCAAGTGGCCCTTTATCGTTAATAACCTCCTCTTTGTCGTGTTGGAACTGGGTACGGGTTTCTGTCAGACCTACAAACAATTTTTGGCTTGTCGCGCTCTCTTTGGAATCGCCATGGGTGGGTTGTACGGCAATGCCGCGGCGACCGCGCTTGAGGACTGTCCTATGGAGGCGCGTGGTATCGTGTCTGGCTTGCTGCAGCAGGGCTATGCGTTTGGATACTTGCTGGCTACCGCATTTGCACGCGGCCTGGTCAATACTACCTCCCACGGATGGCGACCGCTCTACTGGTTTGGGGCCTGTCCGCCCGTGCTAATCATCATCTACCGGATGTTCCTGCCGGAGACCGATACCTTCCTTCAGCGCCAGGCCACTCGAGAGCATGTTCGCGGTGGAGTGACTACAACCTTCTTGTCCGAGGGTAATACAGCCCTGAAGAGACATTGGCTGCTTCTGATCTATCTGGTCTTGCTCATGGCTGGCTTCAACTTCATGGTACGTTTGAATACATACTTTACTCAATTTAGTCGATTCAGCGTCACTAACCAAACCCCAGTCTCACGGCTCCCAAGATCTCTACCCGACCATGCTTGAAAACCAATTCAACTTCTCCGCCGATGCCGTTACTGTTACCCAGGTCGTCGCCAACCTCGGCGCCCTGACCGGAGGTACTACGTGCGGCTGGGCCAGTCAGATCTTTGGACGCCGCTTCTCCATCGTCTTCATTTGCATTATTGGCGGCGCGCTCCTCTACCCTTACACATTTGTCACGAACCACAGCGTTATGGCTGCTGCCTTTTTTGAACAATTCTGCGTGCAAGGCGCATGGGGTGTCATCCCCATCCACCTGATGGAGCTGTCGCCGGGTGCTATCCGCACCTTCGCGGTAGGTACGGCCTACCAGCTGGGCAACCTCGTCTCGTCGGCTAGTTCGACGATCGAGTCCACGATCGGGGAACGGTTTCCCTTGCCTCCCACAGAGGATGGTACCAAGCGGTACCAGTATGGCAAGGTCATTTGTATCTTTATGGGCTGTGTGTATGGATATACGATCTTGGTGACGCTGATCGGCCCCGAGCGGCTAGGTCGCAAGTTCGATGTCGCGCATGATGGCGATATGGCGGTTGTGGCAGCACAACGGGGAACGGATGGGGAGGTGGAGGTAGAGGGTGATCCGGAGAAGGGCACGTCGAGGATGGTGGAGGGTTGATTCGATCAGTCGCTTAGATGTACTGTTGATGATGTTATGATGTGACGAGAAGAGTGATATTCATTATGCTATATAGCCGCTTGCAATGCCTGAGATTGTACGCTATGTTTGTTGGCTTAGTCCATTGTTTGACTCCGTCCCGAGATGTCTCACTCCACCTGGCCCAACATCCTATCGCGTTGTAGAGTCTATGACACAGAACAGATCAGTGGGGATGTCGCAGATACCTAAATTATTGTAATCGATATGATTAGTCCAGGCACTGGTACAATAACAACCGATGTTGATTGTAGAAGAAGTAAGAAGGACATCAGAATCTGCTTAATAATCGATGCTCATCAATCCCCTTTGGGACCGATCACCGGGTTGAAGATGGAGGATCATCATTGTAATCATCTCTTGTTAAGTAGCAAGGAAAGCTTTAACTTACCATACTATAGATAATGTTGATGGCAGGAAGTAAGCAAAAATGTTCGAATAGTGGCCATTTCCCCTGGGCACACAGACCCTTTTATACAGCCAGCCGGTCAGGAGGTTCTTCCTTAGGCAACCAACCAGCCAACCCCGCACGGATTGGAACTAAACTGCATTCATTCCAATGCAGTGAACCGGGATGCTGACAGACAGTCCTGTAATGCACGGTGGAAATATACTTTCTACTCGTAGGATACCATTACTAACGAATTATTTGTATAGAATACCAGTAGAAATAGCTAGTTGTTTGAGTTTAGATCGAGATCAAAGGAAAAATGGATCCACTCTCGGACATTGGCATCGCAATCTCGTGGAGCGGAGATCGGCGACGCTCTTTTCTCAGGGTCTGATTGATTCATGACCCTAATTTGAGTTGTCTCTCTTTTGCTGCCCTAGCTCTTTGTGTCGGGATGACGATCTCAATTCATTCTTGACTCGTGAGGTGGAACTGCAAATATTCTGAGTCTAGATAGACGGGATCTAATGCATCTGCACTGCAAGTAGAAACAGTGGGTAGGGGCGAAAAAAAGAAGATGAGGTGACGATGTTCGAAACCCCCGAGGTAGTACCGTCAGGATACATCCACCAAGAAACTAAACTGATTGATGTCAGAGACAGAAGGGGAGGGCACATAGAGTACAATTCATCCATGGAATTCCTCCATATCCCCACTGAATAATGACAGCCATCAACATGTTGGTAAGAACCATGAACCATAAGCTCAGCACTCCATCCGCCGACCAGAACCGCCAAGCCCCGGACCGGGACTGGCGCTGCTCTCAACTTTCCCTTACAACTTTCAACTTTCATTTCACTTGCTCGTCTTCGTTTGCTACGCTCTTCGCTCCTCCTCCGTTTCGGGCTTCATCTTTCCCTCCCTCTCCTTTCGACCTCCTCCTCTCCCATCCGGTCGTTTCGGTTTGCCTTTCCCTTTCTTTCATTGAGATCTCTCCGTCCTCCTCATCTTTCCCCGGTCGGCGACTCCCTCGTTCGTCCGCAACCCAAACCCCCCGACTGCAAGGGTCCGGTCTCAACGCCCACAGGAGGTAGAGGGAAGACCGCAAAGAAGACGAGGAGCAGCTTCAATCTCCAACGCGACTAATATATCTATCCTGCATTTGGTACTACCGGCAGCTGCAAACCCTCATTCGCTCAATTCCTCGCGATCCGATCCGTTGGCGCATTCCAGCCTTTTCCTCAGGGTCCAACAAGCAGCCGTGATCCCCTTGCCGCCTGGCTGCTCCTCCTTCCCCCACAGATTCCTTACGATCCTACCCTCTTCCCCCGAAGACACCACCACCGCCTTCTCCTCCTCCCCTTCTGCCTCCGAACCCGGCCCTTACCCCCCATACGTGCTGGATGAGTATCTCGATCGCCACCTCTTCCAATGCACAGACGCTCGTCTGGCTCGCCAGCCGAGGACGACGCTGAAGAATCCCTGGCCCCCGTCTCTCGCACCCCGACAGACCCGAGTCCTGCGCCTCAAGTCCTCGATTCGCCGGAAAATTCGCGTCCGCAGGCCGCTGCCAGGACCGGCACCAGCTTCGATCTTCGTCGAGATGCCTCCAATCCGCGTTCCCGAAATTCTAGCCTTTGGCGCACTTCCTCCTCCACCGAATCCCGCTCCTCCGCCGTTATGATGCCGCTGGCTTCCCAGCGATTGCCCATGGAAGCCTCCCCGGACGGTCACCTCCGCTTTCGACCGTCGCGCCTCCGCAGTCCCTGGCCCGTTTCCATCCTGACCGCGCTCACCACCCTGGTCGCCTCGATATTTCTCTTCTTCATCCTTCGGTCCTTCTCCGAACGGCAGATTGGCGGCGATGGCTGTGGAATTCCCGTCATGAGTCCCACCTTCCTTCGCATGGTGGGTTTCGATACGGAACATACCCGGTTTGCGAGCAAGTATAATCTGTTCCTCTATCGGGAGGAGGGTGTCGACCCGTACAACCAGGAGAACTTGGGCGTAAGTACCTGGCCAATGATTTTGCCGCGTGGCTGTGGCGTTTCCTCCCCGATCGCAGGCTGACTATGTGTTCTGCTACATCCAGTTAAACGGTGCCCCTGTCCTCTTCCTCCCCGGAAATGCCGGCAGCTATCGACAAGTTCGCTCCCTGGCTGCCGAAGCCTCGAGACACTATGCCGACGTCGTCCGACATGATGAGGAGCGGCTCAAATCAGGTACCCGCAGCTTAGACTTTTTCATGATCGACTTCAACGAAGACCTGGCGGCCTTCCATGGCCAGACACTACTCGATCAAGCGGAATATGTCAACGAAGCCGTGTCATACATCCTCTCGCTCTACCATGATCCGCGACGGTCGCGGAGGGACCCTGGCCTTCCCGACCCCAGCGCGGTGATTTTAGTTGGGCATTCCATGGGAGGCATTGTCGCACGCACGGCGTTAACAATGACGAATTACCAGGCAAACTCGGTCAACACGATTGTCACCATGTCTGCACCGCACGCAAAGCCCCCGGTTTCGTTCGAATCGGACATCGTTCATACATACAAGCAAATCAACGATTACTGGCGGGATGCCTACTCCCAGACCTGGGCGAACAATAACCCACTGTGGCACCTTACGCTGATCTCGATCGCGGGTGGTTCGCGCGATACGGTGGTTCCGTCGGACTACGCTAGTATCTCGTCGCTGGTTCCGGACACGCACGGCTTCACAGTTTTCACCTCGACGATCCCTGATGTCTGGATCGGTATGGACCATCTGTCAATTACGTGGTGTGACCAGTTCCGCAAGGCAATCATCAAGTCGTTGTTCGACGTGGTGGATGTCCGTCGGGCCAGCCAGACAAAGCCCAGGGCCGAGCGCATGCGGATCTTCAAGAAATGGTATTTGACTGGATTAGAGCCGACCGCTGAAAGAACGCTCCCACAGAAAGGTGCGTATGCGATAGCGCTCGTCGATACTGTTGCTAACTGTTATTAGAACCATCTACATTATTGACGCTGGAAGATAGCACCAACATCATCCTGCCGCAAGGCCAGCGACTAATTCTTCGCGAGCTCGGCCACAGCCCGAATACCAACGTCCACTTGCTTCCCGTTCCGCCGCAGGGTGTGTCGGGGAAGAAGTTTACTCTTCTTACAGATCAGAAATTAGACAACCCCGGAGAGCAGGGGACATTGGAGGTTCTCTTCTGCAGTGTCTTCCCGTTGCACAACGGCAAGTTTGCCAGCATTTTCTCGATGAACATGGACTTTTCCGGGAGCAGCGCCGGCTCGACGCGCCTGGCTTGCAAGAACGCTGCGGAGGATGGCATACACCTACCAGCGTCGACGAGGACCTCGAAGCAAGCGTATGACCGGACCTCTCCTTTCTCGTATCTCCAGTACGATCTGGAGGATTTGGTCGAGCACCAGTTTGTGGCAGTGGTCGACAAAGCGCGGTCTCCAACTCGCGGCTGGGTGGTGGCGGAGTTCTCCGACAGCTCTGACTCGGTCATTCGAGCTCGTGTGGGCTTGGGCGGCTTGCTCAGTGCTGGACTGAAGATGAGACTTCCGGCGAACCGCCCAATGCTCACTGAGGTGAGAATTCCGGCGCTGCATTCGAGTTTGTTGAATTACAAGCTTAAGATCGTCCGCCGGGGTTACGGAGAACAGCCCGAGCTGTTTGCACCGCTATTGCGCCAGTCGATCCCTGATCCCCACGAGTCCAAGTTCTTTGTCAATGTGAAGCAGGTCAATGTCAATCTGCACGGAGTCGCTCCGTTCATGCCTCCGCCTCTTCGTGAGCAAGCCACCCTTGGTGGAGTGTCTTTCCATTTGTGGACAGATCCGAGCAGCGAGTCAACGGTTGACATCTCCTTGTCGGTGGACGTCCTGGGTAGTCTAGGTGAGCTCGTGATGCGGTACCGCACCGTTTTTGCTGCCTTCCCGATCCTGGTAATTGCTTTGGTTCTGCGCAAGCAGTTTCAGGTCTATGACGAGACGGGTTATTTTATCACCTTCGCAGAGGGGTTGGATAGCACACTGCGGTCGTCTTTGCCTATTTTGCTGCTCGCCATGTCGTTGCTGGCTTCTTCCCTGGCTACGTCGACTACGCTGCCTCCAAGCGATGATCCATTTCATTGGCGCACCAACTCCACGGAGTCGCCCGTTGATTTTACGAAGAATGACCTACTGTTGGGATCGCAGGATGCTTTCTTTTGGTTCTTGGTTCCTGTGTTCGGTCTGATCAGTGTGGGCGTGTGCGTGATGATGAATTATGTGGCTCTGTCCCTGCTGTCGGTTTTGTCTTTCTTCTATGGTCTGTTGAACAGCAAGTCAGGGTATATCAAGCGTGATGACAAGGGGTGAGTTATCCTCTATTATTTTGCATGCACAATGCTGACCATATCAGCAACCTTCCCATCTTTTCGGCCCCTACGCCCAGACGACGGTTGATTAACACCGCTATTCTGCTGATTCTTGTTGCGACTACTATCCCGTATCAGTTTGCCTATATGGTGGCGTGCATCGTGCAGCTCGCTACTTGCGTGCGAGCCCAATGGCATGCGAAAGAGACGGTATGCATACTCGCATTGTTGACTTGCGTTTGCTAATAATCCCAGAAATCTACGACTCATTATAATTTCGCCAATCTTACATACTCGATCTTTCTCCTGATGCTGTGGATCCTGCCGATCAACATCCTTGTCCTGCTCGTGTGGGCACATAACCTTGTGGTGCATTGGTTCATGCCATTCTCCTCCCACCACAATGTGCTGTCAATTATGCCGTTTATCCTGCTTGTTGAGGCCATGACGACAGGAACGATGGTCCCTCGAGTCAGCTCACGGTATGCTCCTTCAATACTAGTGTAATCTCAAAACTAACTAAATAGGCTAAAAAACGTCACCTCCCTCATTCTCTTCGCCCTTGCCATCTACTCCGCAGTCTACGGCGTCTCCTACGGCTACCTTCTCCATCACCTTACTAATCTTTTCGCCGCCTGGCTCGTGGGCATCTACCTCTTCAGCAGCGGCTTCTCACCCCGCCGACTTTGGCGCATCCTAGAAGGCGACGACGCGAACTCCTCGGCCGAACCAGGGAGTAGTCACATGAAGAAAAAACCATAATCCTACTACACCATACATATCTTATCCTTATTCTTCTATTATATGTCCCGTTGCATCTTACCGGTTGCGGACCATGATTAACGGCGTTTTGCTATTTTTGGAAGCGGCGTTTGCTTTTTGTTTTCTGACCGAGAGTCGATGTACAGGATTGTGCTTGTTATGTGCTCATATGAATGATTTTATACTATATCGTGTTTGAGTGATCCTGACGGAAGGTGGGATCTGTGATGGCGGATGGGTGTATCTTATTAGCTTTGTGTGTGTGTTGTTGATACTGTCTGAGCGTGAGTGTGTGTTTGTATATACGGTTGGATCTGGAAATAGACTTTGGCCGGGTAATAGTGACGAGAGATGGTGTTGCTGTTCATATTATTTCCACTATCGTCAATGTAGACGACATCTATAACCTATAATATTTGCACCTCGTGCCTCTTCAGTCAAGTGCCTTGATCATCCTACACTATATCCAAGCCACATTAGACATGACGCAGCATGTCCCGAAGTAGGATCTACTTTGCTGACCACTTCACGGGCATCTACCACGAGACAAGACTGATTCCAAATCAAGCTGCTAAATCTGGTCAGATGCAGTAGCACATTGACCTCATAGAAGACAAACTTCCGAGCCAAGAAGAGATTTAGTTGTCACCAGATAGGTTACAGTCTACGCATTCGTATCTCGACCCCTGCGCATGCATAGCTTGTCAGCTTCCATATATTCTGGTCTCTAATCACATTCTATACTTCCATATAAGATCTAAATAACATCCCTTAAAGCTATACATACACTTAACAGTGAACAATCCCGTTAAGACATTTACTACAGCTAGGCAGCTGTCAGCTGATTCTTCGCCTTTTCTTTTTTTAAGGTCTCCGACCACCAACCAACCACCCACCCAACCCCTTGAGATCTATATAGATCACATCTATATATCTTTGACCCTCCGTCTTGACAACATCTACCCCCGAGGCCCCCAAAACATAAGGAACAAGCCAAAATGCTCATCTTCCTCGGCAAACTTACCTACCCGCCCTACGCCACGAACGAACTCTTCGCCGTCATCTTCAGCAACAACATGCAACAGGGCGAAAAAGTAGCCGTCGTTCACCAATGGACTAAGGATGCGGCGGGGCAGGCAAGAGCCAATTCCTTTGCGCAAGGGACTGTCGATAAAGCGGTTATTACGTCGACGGGGGAGAAGGAGATTGAGTTCTTTTATGGGGAGAGGGAGACGACTTATTACTGGTACTTGCTTTACTTCTTCTTTCCCCTTTCTATAGGAGTATTGGTTTCGGAGTAGATGAGTAAGTGCTAATATATGGGGTTGTGTGTAGGTATAAGGGTACCCAATCCGGGAGTAAATTGACATTGTCGATGTTCAACAAGAGTGGAGAGGAGGTGGTCAAGAAGATTGAGCTTCTGGCGACGTATTATTGATCGAATGTAAATTCTGCATTCGTTGTCTATTCATACATCATGATGCTACTTGCATTAGACAGAAAGGAACAGAACTCAACAAGAAGCAGTCCGTCTATGAGTTATCATCCTTCCACTTCTACCTTCCATATCCATGACATGAATGGTTATCGCCTCACCCTCTCAAATACTGCCTCATACCTCTCCAACACCTCAGTAAATCTCTTCGCCGACTCAGTTGACCTTTCTACCGCGTCATCTAGTCTCTCTCGTGCTTCGGTATACCTTCGAAACGCTGCGTGGAAGTTTTCTTCTGATTTATCATTATTTTTCTTTGCTTCTTCGGTTGTCTTTTGTGCTTGTACCGCCATGTCTCGTGCTGAGTGGGCTGCCTTTCGTGCCTGTTCGAGGGCTCCGGTGAGAGGTGAGGGTTCGTGGTCCGTTTGGGTTAGAGGGAGGTGGGATCGGTAGTGGCAGAAAAAGGACATGTTAAAGGTTGAGGGTATATAGGTAGGGAGGTTGCGCCTGAGCAGAGGAATGATGTTTGCCTGTGAAGGTGGATTTGGGGGTCTTGATGGGAAACAGTTGTGTTAGGTGCAGTTACCAAAGCAGCGGTAATATCAGAATTATAGTTGAATTTTGCGCGCCCATGATGTACATATGACGGCTGATGGCAAATTCCTTAAATTATACTGCTTGCTTAGTGTATGTTTCTTGTAAATGTAAATGTATGTAAAGTTTTTTGTTCAGGGAGCTGTGTTTTAATCTTGAGACAATCGGTATCGGCTGATCTTGGTCTCATCTATACAGGTCGATTGTTACTCCGATGCCTCAAGATATCTACAGGAATACGCACGCTTAGAAGCTCAAGAAGAGTCACTCATGCACAGAACCTTTCAATTCTCTTCCCTAGAAATTGAATTTAATACTATATGAATCCCTCAGCTAGTGCAGAACAAAATATCTGGCAGAGAGAAAGGCAGCACACTTCAGCTGTGTCTATAAAAAACGGTAAACCTCGCGCCATCGACAAACGGCTCGTGAAAACCCGCTGATTCTTGCCAGGCAGCAATTGTGAGAGAAATCAGGCTGAAACATAACTCATTACTCGAGTGGAACTGAAGATGGTCGCTTTCGGCCGTAGGGGTCGCGGATTTTCTTCCCCATCAAGAATTGCCGCTTTTCGATTGGAAGTGAATCGAGTTGCGAATAATTAAAGTCAATAATCAACGCCCGGCGTAGCTCGGGGTTCCACAACGCGTTCTGGGGCTGAATATTATGATGTATGACTCCAAGAGAGCGGATCTCCTTTTCAGATCTTTTGACTTCGCGTTTGAAGGACTTGTCCTCGCAATTCTCGATCTGCTCTCCTCCCCAAGCCATGAGGAGCATGTGGTTGATCTCGGTTCCATTTGAGAAGTGGGCCATTCTCAAATCAACTGTCCCAAGGACAACAGGGACTGCAGATCCCTGTGCTTGATGAAGTATGCGGTAAATGTCTGCTTCACGAGAGACCTTTTCCTTCCAGAAATCAGATGAGGCTCCTTTGCCAACCATAGTATACCCAAGTGTCGAAGATGTAATTTTAAAAAGTGCGCCGGTTGACGCGCAGCCACTGATGGGCGTGCACCCATAGCCAACTTCTTTATTAAGCTGCTTCTCGATTTTTCGGACCAACGTTTCAGGAAGAATCTGGTGATGGTCGCCATTTGCACCTAGCCGGTGCAGCGCTACGTTCGGACATTGTTTGTCCAGACTTCTTCCATGCTGCAGACCAAGCAAGCAACGCTGGGTACAAAATTGAGCTGTATCTTTGTTGGTGTCTTCTCCGCTAGAATCAGTGTCCTCTTGGAACTCCGAGGACTCAGCATTCTCGCTGATTCGACGCTTTTGTCTCCTGGGGCCTGTATCGGTATCTGCATCCGGGGTACGATGGCGCCGCGACGAAGCCCAAGTCGGCATTCTGTAGTTTTCTGTAGGCGAAGACCCAACAGAAGAATGGGATGGTTGGTACGACGAGGAGGATGTGGACTCGCTCTTGATGGTCGTGGTGGTCGTGCTGTGGGAATGTTGCGAAGCCGTAGGACTTTGGTTTGGCTCAAATTGCGGAATTCTGGAAGATGTTGTATCAAAGCCTGTTGTCCAGGTCGGCAGGTCCTTTTTCGCCTTTTCTCGCCAGGCCTTATCACGGACTTCTACGCTACAACTCATCAGACAGAGACACAGGACTCGCGCCACAGATGTTAGGGGAGGATTTGTGAGTCTTTTGTCATCGTGTAAAGTGATTTCACTGTTGGGCTCGAAGAGATGGTAGTACAGAGTGCCCGGCTCATGATAGGGGATTCGCAACATGATCAATGCCAGCCCAGTGCTCACGTAGGAATACTCAAGTCCCTTTATTATCATAACATGATACTCATGTACAACGGCAGATCCCGTTAAAACAGCCGCATCATACTTTCGTTTCTCTTCCCGGTCGGTAGGAGTCGTTTCAGTTTTCACTATCTCCTTCCAGAATTCCAGTGGGCGCAGCCCCAAGCGAATTTCTTCGACAGGTAGCTTGTGAGGTGGTTTGTATTCGACGGTCATTATCAGGTTGTCATTGTCACCGTCGACTTGGTGGATGCAATACTGGTCTGGTCTCGGATTCTGGCAATATAATGCCTCTCCGTTCTTTTCCGCTGTCCGGTCTTGCTCTTTGTCGGCTTCGACATCATCAAGACAATTTGCATGACTGTCGAACCGAACTCCACTGCCCAAATGAAATTCAGCTCTTGCGGCCGGTATATTGCAGAGCTCCGCAAGAACCCTATGGACCTGGCTCTCGACGGTAAAACGTTCAAATGCTTCCACATCTCGTTCACTGCTTATTGCCCTGTCAAAATATTCGCCCATGCTTTCCAAACCAAGACGAGGTGTGAAGAGTCTTAACGCAGCACTTCCTGGCGGCTCAAGGTAGTTACGAACATCCCGGTAGATCTTCTGTTGCTCGGTATCACAGCTTTCCCAATGCTCGAGCTTCAAGGGGCAGTATTTTCCTTTAGGCTGCGGAATCTTTCCCTTTGTGCAGCGAGTGAGTTTTTCGACTCTAAGGGGTGCTGAAAATATGATGTGGCAGTATTGAAGAAATTCTCCAAATGTTGTACGTCTCGATCGTTCCCTCTCCACCTCCAATTCCTTTCTTAACCGTTCCCCTTCTTCCCGTGCTTTCTTCTCATTTTCCTGAGCCCGTAGCGTGTCTTCGTTGGCATTTTGTGTGGCTGCACGAGCCTTTTGAAGTGTTGTATCAGCACTTTCCTCTGCTACATCAGCTCTTTTCCCTGGTGCACGACATTGGATTGCTGCATCAGCTTGTTGACTTGCTGTATCAGCTGTTGTGTTTGCTGCACTAGCCGCGCTATCTGCTTCGAAAATCCTTTCCGGGGGAGTCTTGTACTCAGGGGAACTGTCACCACCCATTATATGTGGATATACGATGGGAAAAGTGAAAAGAATGCAGCTGTTGGGGTGGCAAAAACACACAATGGAGGATTTTCGAAGAGTTGATCGGAGAGCTCTGTATAGAAATAGGCTGCAAAGAACGCCAACTGGCCGTGGATGTGAGCTATCAATTTATGCCATTTTGTTGCTGCGTCCATCAAGGGGGGCTGATGAGGGGAGAGCCAGTGCAGCTACCTCAGAAAGTCTTCCATTGATGAGGTCGTACCAACAAACGGAGAAACCCGTATCGTAGACACGCAAATCAAATCCATCTTGCCTTCTTTCGGAGATCAGCTGGAGGTCCATGCTATTTTCCCTTTCCGAAAAGAAATGTGAAAAGACCTTTCCTGTTCGTCAAGCCAGGACGCCGACGCCAATCTGGATGGGTGGGCACTTTTGTTTTACCCTTTGTCCAGGATTTCGGTGTTTGCTATTCTGCATCATAGAGCCACTGTATCACGTCAAAGCGGTAACCACGTACCATCCCGTCTTTCAAACAAAGGTGGTGCTGACAGCTCAGAGACAAATGAACTTTCCAAATTACAAACCTTCAGCGTCAGGCATAGAGCGATCTTTGGGCGAGTTCATGATACTATACTGAGTCAAAGGAGATTTTGCCTGGCAAGACCCGCGTATCAGGAGTAGAAGTTTGTGGTCGACCAGTCTAAAGTGACACAAACTTCCAGACGCATGAATTCCCAATAAGTCGCGTTGATCAAACGAAGGGAGACACAGCTGTATGGGCACATGTCCTGAGTGTTTGTGTGTGATTTCAAGGACGCTTTGAATGAGTAACTTTATGGTTGTTTTCACAGGTGTCTTCCGCGCACGTTTACCCGCGTGTTTGCATTCTTGGCTTGCCAGGATTATGGAAAGCCTCGGTTAATCCAGACTTGTACTAAGCACACCAATTTTGCCCTTAGTAATGCCTACTTCAATCTAAGTATGTACATCAAATAGATGTGTTTGAGGGTTCCATGGGCCCTACTGGGGTGTCCGCAAGTAGAAGTAACTCAAAACAATAAGCAGCAAGGAATCTAATATATATCACAAGTCTAGGGTGCATTCGTAGCGAGGATTTCTCTATAAAACAATCTCCAATTCAAAACTTTCTTTCTTGCACTAACCTCAGGCTGTAACTACTGATAGTATGAGAGTGTGGTTAACGAAAGGCGAGCATCTCTATAGTGATCACCGAAAGGACAAAAAGGAGTCCTGAGTGCAATGTTGGGGTGACGGGAATTAAGGTATTCCAATTATGCATTTCTGGGTGCATGGTGAAGGCCTGTACTCATTGAGACTGCTCTCATTGCTCTCAGAGCATGTATTACGGTGTTTTAGAGTAGATGCTGCAGCTTTCAATTCCTTGCTTGCTAACTAGTCTTGCTCTTCTTTCGCTTCTTTCTTTACCCACTGTGCCTCCACTTCCTGTTTCTGTGCTTCATCAGACTCTTGATGTCCTCCATCTTCTTTCAGCTGTTGCTCATTCACTATTTTGTGTTGCATAATTTCTGTCTCGTACTTCTTGACTTCTTCTCCAC